AAAAAGGAGGGTTTCTGCCCCGTTACTTCTCTTCTTACTTCTATAAGAATAAAACACGGAGGAAGGAGATCTCTTTTTCTTTCCCTCTTCTCCCCGCTGCAGCCTAGCAGCTGATCTCAGATCACGCTCCCCTCTCCTGCAGGGGGGCGTGGTCAGCTGCAGCTCACAGAATCAGCCCCCTGTAAAAACAGCGCTGGAAAGAGCAAATAGAGCGAAATGAGGCATGGCTAAAATGCAGGATCTGTTTGGTGTTTTGAAAAAAAAACTATATTTATATTAGGGCCGGGACTTTAACGCGTTAATTAAGATTAATTAATCACACAAAAATTAACGCGTTAAAAAAATTAACGCATTTTAATCGCACTTATTTTTGCACCGCGGAACGTTTCTCACTGGATGAGTTTCAGGCGTACCGATTATACTGGAGCACCAACTAACGTTCATGACTTCAGACAACAACAAACCACAGTGAACAACAGTGGGAAATGTTGTTTTAAAAAACGGACGGATGGAAGCGTCGATAAGAGCACGGTTGTGTGCAAATTATGCAAAAAGGAATTCGCATATCACCGCAGCACATCAAGCCTCAAGTATCACCTCAATGCAAAACATATAGCAGCTAGCGTGGAAGCTAGCGTGGACGTTAGCCTCTTTTATCGCGTTCACACCAAAAAGAGCCGGTACTAAAATTAGTTCATGAGAACCTTTTTACCCCCACGAAAGTCCCTGCTAGAGAGCAGAGAGCTGCTAGAGAGCAGGGACTTTCGTGCGGCTCTCTTGTGAGAAAAGAGCTATATTTCTGATTGGCTGGGCGGATTGCAAACCACGCCCCGTAAAACTCCCAAAAAGTTTTGTGAAGCCGCCATTTTATTATCCTCGCATTAGCATTATTAGCATTAGCCCAGCGCAGAAACGCAGAGAGACTAACTTATGGCAACACAAAATAAAACATGGGAGCGGTGGAGATGAGGAGGTGTCGGCGTTCTGGCGATTTACTCGGAAGGCTGCTGGGAGTCCCAGCAGCTTCTACTGAAGCCAGTCCCCAACTCCGGGGACTTTGGGCGGCAGTATACGCCGAAGTGGTTTGCGGCCTGCCAGTAAACCGAAAGCAGAAGAAGAAGTGACGTCAGCGGCTTCATTTGCCTAATCCACCCCCAGTTTCAAAGAGTTCTCATAAACTAAATTCTCATGAACCTTTGTGGGAAAAGTACTGCGGTGTGAATGCGCCTAATGGTATACTAAAATCCATGTGAAAAAAATTGCTTCTCACTGTTCTCAGGTCAAATATTTACATGTGATTAAAAATGCGATTAATTTCGATTAATTAATTACAAAGCCTCTAATTAATTAGATTAATTTGTTTAATCGAGTCCCGGCCCTAATTTATATACTTTATATAGGTATGGCCCTACAATATATTGTTCAAATATAGCATGATAGGTCACCTTTAAGTTATGGCCAAAAAGGTTTTTAGTGAGGTAACATTGTGCCGAAAAGAAATGCTATTCTCTTAATTTGTTTCGGAAATGTTTAAAAAATGAATATCGGACTGTCTAACCGGCCATAGACTGTATAAAAAGTGGTTGAAGACTGAGACGTATGTGGTGCGGGCAGGATTCTATTTTTCAGGCAAATATTGGATTTATTTTATGGCCTGCTGTGCGATTAAAACAGACTGTCAAAAATGAGGCTGTCTGATGGTTTTGGTGTATTCAGCCAGCTAACACTATATCTACGTCCAATACTGATTCACCTGAAAAAGTAAACATACAGCCCAGCCCTAGCCTGTGGAAGACCTCAGTCTACAACGCCATAAACTACAGTAATGGTAGTAACTAATATTCAGATTTGACTTTGAGATCTATAATTTCCAGTAAAAATCTAAGCCAAAACCAGTACAATTTATTGAAACGAGAAGCAGTAGATATTAATGATGAACTCTAAAAACGTTTTTTATAAAAGGACATAACAAACAAAAATATGGACAGTATTTTACACTTTAAAATGTATAAGTAAAGACATGTAGTCACATGAAATGTGTGAAATTGTGTGAAGAGAAATTGAAGATGTTATTCAGTATTCAGTTTCTGCGGCATTTCTTCCAGTTTGTCCAAAGGTCTTCTCATCAGGGCTCTATAAATAAAGAACTACGGCAGATCTGTAATATGTAATGCAGCCGAACCGTGTATTACAATGCCGTTATGTGATGACTTTCAAAGAGAAAAGCAAGAACACTCGGAATAAAGTATTATTTTCTTTACATTTAAAAAAAAAAATCGGATTTCATATCGCATTAACACCATATCCCTACGTGCATTGCGGCTACAACATCCAATCAGCGAGCTTAAACCATAGCTGAGGATCTTGGGTAATCGGTTCAGTGGCTGTGTATTGCAATGATGCTCGAAATGTCCCTTATAGGCCTACGTCTGTTTCCGGTTATTTTTATTTAGAAATTCAGTTCCTGACGGACGCCAAAAAAGCCAGAGATTATGGAATTAAACCAATAAATAAAAACAAGGATAATTGTGTGTTATTGGTGAGTAAATAACAGTGTGTTATTTAGAAAAGAATAACAAATTAGAAGGAAAAACATATTTAAAAAAAATACAGATTTCAGTATTTTGAGGCTCTGAGCCCCATTTATTTTCCTCACAGATGACAAAAAAAGTCCGACATTATACGATTTAAAATAAAAGCAATCATTGTGGCTTGATATTGAGTAAGAAGATGTTTTTATGAACCCCACAGCTTCCGGTCTTCCAAGACCCGACCGGACAAAAAGACGTGCTGCAGGCACGAAACATACTACCAATAGAAATACATTGCTTTTAAAATCGTGAACACGTAGTGAACACGAATCAATAGATTAAATGTCGTGACTATAACACAAAATGCCGTGAGACTGGGTTGAATTGGTAGATAGGTAGCGGTGCACAGCTGATAGACAGGGACTTGTAGTTTTTAAAGATATTATTGATTTTCTTTGAATATAAGAATGTAAACACTGAGTTGAGAGAATAGTCAGGGGTTTTGGGTGATGGGAGACACATCTATGGAATCAGAATTTCAATAGCTTACCATTAAATGACGGATATACCTTTCTGTCTGTGATGTTTTAAAAATCAGATATTAATGTGTAGAAGTAAAACATGTGAAATAATATAGCAATATCCTGTAAAATTATGTGAAAACATGAATAAAACTACACATCTTCAGATGTTATACATCCATAAGTGTCCTACATGTCCTGAATGTTGGGTTAGCTGCCTGTAGAGCGGAGCTAAATTGTCTAGCTTGTTAGCCTAGCTAGTTAGCCTTAGCTAGCTCAGTAGCTTCGAGCTAAGTGGGCATGTTTTTGCAGACAGGCCCGCCTCAGCTCCACCTCTGTCCCCATTTTTTGGATGAGGCGGTTACGAGTTAGGCGCTGACTCACTTCCTAGATGTCAACAGCTGTGTGCGCCATCTTTGGGCTTCATTGTGGCTTTGCAGGAACCTATGGGTGACTATGGACACTACGTCCATTTATATACAGTCTTATGGCATGCACCTTGACAGGGCGGTTATAAATTACAATTATATAACTACAACAACCTGCTACAAATACAACACACCAGTCTATAAAGCTCTCGTAATTATTTAAAAAAAACAGCCAACAATCAACTAAATAATGGGCTACAATATAGCAAACAAATACAATCACTTATAAACAATGCATAGAGGAGTTGAGGTAATCACGGGAGATTACACCAGCACAACTCCTGTAACTCTTTTAACTCCTAAGCCTAAATATAATTGAAAACAGTTATATAAGAAATTCACCCCCCTACAGTGATCATAAATATGGAAATTAGCTAGAGGGGGCTGCTGTAATCGAGGGTATGTAAAAATTGGATGCCTCCCTTTAGAAGCCAGCCTCCAGTGGTGTGTGTTTATCTTTCACGTTCAAAGTAAAATTAACTAGAAACATGTTCTTCTAATTCAAGCAACAGAGCTTCATTTACATTTTTTAAGTTTAGGTCAATGTCTTGTTGTCCTATAAGTAGGTGTGTTACTGTTTATTTTCAAATTGAAACACACCGCTTCTGTAACTTAGGTTGAGCAGCATTTTAAAAATACATTGTTGTGTTGGTCCTTCCAATCATCACACACAAATACTGCCTTTTGCTACTTTCCATGTTACATCACAAACAGAACCCTACACACACACACACACACACACACACACACACACACACACACACACACACACACACACACACACACACACACACACACACAACACACACCCACACACACACACACACACACACACACACACACACACACACACACACACACACACACACACACACTACCACACACACCACACACACACACACACACACACATCACACACACACACACACACACACACACACACACACACACACACACACACACACACACACACACACACACACACACACACACACACACACACACACACACACACACACACACACACACACCACACACACACACACACACAACACACACACACAACACACACACACACACACACACACACACACACAACGTAATAGCTTTTCTCTTGTCTTGTAACACGTTGACATAACAGACTTTCACCTGCTCGCTGTAATGCCACATTTGATACACTGACAGCTCAGATGTAGAGTTCATGACAGTGTAAAATATTTTGCTTCTATTAAGACAATAAATATTCAGGATAGATGTGAAGTTGTTATTGAGAAATCGACAGGATAAGTACCAATTAATATAAATCATTGTGTGTTCCTATTCTGCAGTTTTGCTTACTGTGTAAGCAAAAGGAACTGTATACATCTCACTTTGTAGAAATAAAGTATTTGTTTTGTTGACTATATTGTATTTGGAACACATACAACTACAGTTCTGATCAGGGATCAAATGAATCCTGAATGCTTTGTTGTTTGATTAGGGGTTAGCAGTAGATCTCTTTGTAACAGTGTGTTACTTACGGACTTTCCATGCTTTTTCTGCAGTGCGTTATGGATAGAGGGGGGTCTGGAAGATGGGAGAAAGAGATAAGGAAGGTGAACATTTTCAGATGTCACTCATTTTCAAGCATTTATAAGGATAAACAACCCTGATCCAAGACATTTACATAAAGGTTTATGAAAACTTGAATTCCTAAAAATGACCAGTGAATTCCTAAAGATGACGATCACAATAGCAGCTGCTGAGCCTGGAGCAGCTATTGGAATGGAGTAACAGGATTACAATTAAAGGCTAAATATATTGACTGAAGTTTATTTCTGAAGTGTCATTAGGCCACTTTCATGATGTTCACTACTTGATCATGTAATTAAAGCTGAGAGTCATATAGAGCAGTATGATAACATAAATCAGTAAGGTAGATGTGGGGATGTCTGTTAAAAGTCTCTCAGTTAAGTTTCACATACAAAATGATTATAAGTTGTAATGTATAAATACAAAAACATTCAGTAATCATTGTTGTTATTTGTAATAATTTAATTGCTCCCTGAAAATTGAGTGATTGTGATGGCAGCCATTATTTTCCAGGTCTCACCTCTTTTCCTCTTCATCTTCCTCCTGCGCTGCTTGTTGACGAAGCAGGCAGCCATGGTGCTGAAGAGGACAGCTGCTGCCAGGAAACAGATGGTTGCCACAATGCCAGCCACCACAGGCCGCGCCAGTCCACGCTCCTCCACCATCTCTGGAGGGGGGAAGAAGTCTGCAGGGGGAGGAGGGGAGAGTCAGGGACGTACAACTGGGTAAAGTCACAGTGTGGCTACAGAATGACAAGGATGCAACAAAGCAGGAAATGACAGTTGCAGACTGTAGACAGACCCAGAGGTATGAGGACATGTTAATGATAGCTACATTTTGACTGCACTGTGGTAGCATCCCGATAGTGATATTAACAGCTCTAAGTAGGTAATAGGTATAGATAGCAGTAGCAGTAGTGTTGCTTTTTGGGGGGTTTATTTTGAAAAACAAGCCTAAACCTGAACCTTTCTGTTACTATACAGTTTTTCTATGGGGCTTTTATTTAGAAAAACTGGTATTTTCCAAAGCATCCAGTAAGGATATGGTAACTCAACAGGCTTCTATTTTGAATAACAAGCCTACATTTTAGCTTCCTTTATCTGTAGGCTTTGAGCCTTTTGAAAGAAAAGTCGTTCCATATCCAATGAGATGCAAGAGCTGACCTTTAAAACTGTGTGTGTCTTTAAAATAAGTATTTCTGCACGCTATATGCCATAATGACTAAGCAGAAAGTCAACTTACTTCCCAACCTATCTGAGAAGAGTCTCACAGTGAATGCTGCAGTCAGTAAATGTGCACTGTAATGACTGTTTGATACCTCTGTATGTTGTTGTCCGCTGAGATTATTGCGGGAGATCTGAGGTATGTGAGGTATTTTACTTTTTTGGGCATAAGTAAAATACCTTATCAACATGCATGAAACGTCAAAACATGTTGTTTTTAACAAATTATTAAAATAACATACAATTGTGTTAATGCTTTGACAATATGCAGCGAAAACGCAGTCAAATTAGTTCAAGATCAACAGAGATGAGCAGCAGCTTCTGATATTGCATTACTCTCCAGCTTTGCCACTAGGGGGCAGCAACGTTCTACCACTGCAAATCTTCTTCATTATAAATGCTACCAACAGCTGCTCTTATCAAATGATGTGTACCCAGTGACCTCTGCAGGGGAGTGACATCACAGTTTCAGGGTTTCATTTCAGATTTAAAACAGCCTCTTAGTATTGGGACCAAAAAAAACAAACGACTTTGATTTATTTGTTTGATTTCTGATTTCTTTGTTCCAAAAAGCAGCCCAGTGCAATCCACTGAGGATGATGTCATACTTCTAAGGATGGTACAAAGGAGTGTGCATGTAAAGAGAGCTTATGTTAATAGTGCTGAGTGGGAAAAATGTAAAGTTGGAGTTGCTGAGTGTGCAATACATCTACCGCCTCTGGTCAGATCAGGACTGTGAAGTTAGCCTGAGGTTAGCGACGCATGATACTGCAAGAGGCTGTTGGTTTGAATCCAGAGGTTTAAAGAAGACCTGCCCTTTCTTCTCTGAGTAACACATTTTTTGACATGCATGTACTGTATACTGTATAATGTGTGTTTTTATATATCTGTATTTTTTGTATATATAATATGAGATGTAAGGTCTCACCTGTGCTGGACACACCTACTACGTTACTAGGATCACTGATGATGTCATCCATGACGGCCATGACGCGGAACTCGTACCAGGCCTCCTAAGAGCAGAACAGACAGAGGTCATTCAGAGGGTGAACTCATGTGGTTTTATTGTGTTATTGTCTCAGCTGATAGACATGGATTTGGAGCTCACTCACTGATACCATTTAGTGTTGCCTTAAAAAAAAAAATATTGGAGTTGTGCATTGCAAACTTTGGCATGATTAAGGTTTTTATTGAATCCAATAATTCTATAAAAAAAGATTAGATTATTAAGCACTTAAATAAGGAAATCAAGAATAACTCCTGAAGCTACTGTATAAGGGGGTTCGAAAATCTGTAAAAAAAAATCACACTCATGATGTCATAGTGATATTATTAGAGTTATCTTTGATTGGAATGGACAATAATATGATGTGTCTCGCGCTACTATTAGCTAGCTAGCATTATTGATGTTAGCAGTAGCAAATCATTACAGACTGCTTAATTAACCAAAGAAGTAAATGTTTTTTGACACCAGAATAGTGGTGTGTTTATTAAATTGTAAAAGAAAAAGATGTCTTACATTTGTATAGTTCTGTGTTCACCACATGGATGTATAAAGAGACACAGCACAGAAAAAACAGAAAATTGGCGCTAGAACTAGGGTTTTGGACTTTGAAGGAATTATTAGGCAGGAAGTGTCAAAAAGACCACAGTCGTGCTTTCCCATTCTGCCTTAATAAACTTGCCTTACTGTCCCTCTCACATGCTTTCACACAAGTCACTTGACTCCCCCATTCGCCTGCTCACCTGTTTCTCATCAGCCCTGCAGTATTTTGACCTGCTCATCTCCACCTTCTCTTTGACAGATTGACAATGTTGCGCATGCCTGTAATTTCCAGCCTTCTGAACGTCTGCTCGATCTATTTCTGCTTTTTGTTGCCTGTTCCTCACCTGCTGACCTGTATGCGCCTCTTGGATTTGTTTGACTGTTCGATCTGCTTTCTGTCTATCCGTCTGTGTTTGAATCTTTCATTAATTCTGCATCATGGGAAAGTAGAAACAAGCATTATGAAGCTTGACCCATCATCGGAATATCAAACATCTGCTGCTTGTCCCAATTTTTACATATATAAACTCAAAAGATGTTTGAAACTTGAATATCTATAAACATCCAACTAAGAGAAACATGGATGATTGAGCATACCAATGTAAAATCATTTCAGGTATAAATATGATATATTGTAAGGGGGAACAGAATATTAAAAAAGTCTCCATAGGAAATAAACATGAGCAGATGCGCTGATTTCTTTAAATAGCCAAATGCGTCTTAAAATTGATAAATCACCTATGACTAAGTCCTGATGAAACAACAGATTAAGCCTTTTAGAACCCCTTTCATTGTGCTGGTGTTGGCTGCGCTCCACAGTGCAGGTCAGCTACAGCACAGCAGCTGTGGAGCTGGCACAGATCCAGTCGGTGTCTTGCTCAAGACTGAGATTTGAATTTAAAAGGTACCAAACACAGCACCACTTATACGCAGACAACCAAACAGAGCGTCCCTCTGGCCAAATTACCTCATCTGATGTAGAAAGAGATTTGAAGTTAAAAAGTTAAACAAGCGAGGTGCTTTGTGTGTGTCGAGAGAGCTGGTGAGACTGAGTGGGTGTTGGCGGTGCAATGGAAGGAGAGATAAAAGCATCTGCAAGGAGCCGACAGTGGTAGTTAGAATACAAAGAAGCTCAAACATTATATGGAAGGAGATTACCCGACATAAGCAAAGATGTGAAATGCAGAAAAATAAGTATTGTGTCGCATAAATCAGCAAGGATTTATTGATTTTGTCTCTGCTGTAGTGAATTCACTGTCATCTAAAAAGCATATTGTATTCATTATTCATATTCTTACAGTGTATTACATTGCCTCTCATGTTCCAGATGCTATTCTCTCTCCTCTCTGCAAGTAAAAGCATGTGTGTGTTTTGCAGGTTTAACAAAACGTGTTATGGCAAGAACAAAAAATGCCACCAAGTAAAACCCAGAGATGTCCGAAAGAGAGCCAAGTCAGCATGTGCACACCTGCAATGTTACTATGACAACCAAGGTGGATATGGCAGCTTAATATTCAGGATTTTCACAACTTCTTAAGCATCACATTTGAAGATCTTTCAAGGACATTCCAGGACCAAATCACACAAATGGCAGGACCCAACACGGCATCATTTGAGACACGGATCAAGGTTACTACTGTCACAAACACCAAGAGGTTATAAAATGAGAACTCACACACATCAACCTGAAAGAGAGCCTCTAATGAGCCTCTAACTTGTGGCTATTTTACAGTGAGTTAAAAAGCAGGGAAGTGAAACGATGGAACTTTTAATCGGAGAAAAATAACTGTACCTACCACAAATACTAATTGGCGGCAACTTTTTTTTCTGGATGTTTATTATAAAAAGGATTTTCTTGACTTATTTTCCTGAGTAAATAAAGTGTGTATTCTGTTCTTGGATTATTATAACTCACATTTGGGAAACGTGTCTCAACAACCTATATTGCAGCACAGCTTTCTCACAGTGTCAGCAGTCGATTGCCAGTTGGCTAACAAAAAAGCAAGCATGCTTAGTCAAGCATTTCAGATGGTGTGTATAATTAAGTTTATTTGAAAGACTTGCTCATGCTGCTTGGAACTATACCATCTTTTGCTGGATTTCCGCAAAAAAAAACACAGAGGTGACCGGGGTTGAAAAACACCTGGAACTTCCTGTTATAATGTATATCAAGTTCTTATATATAAAAATATAAAGATTTGTTATTTTAATAGAACTGAAGCTGGGATGTTGACCATATTTTACACTTAAAAATGCTATTAATTATTGTTAAATGCTTAGCAGTAACAGCCATTTTCTGGCTAAAATGAGCATAGAATAACAGACATAGCAGAAGTTCTAAAATAATTGTAGACATTATAATTAACCTCCACTACAGCCCAGACATCCCTCTAGATGAGGGTCTTGTTTGATACTCTGTCTACAGTCCATGACCTGTCTGGTACCTGGATGAGGTCTCGGGCGAGCAGGTCCGTCTCCCCAGCAGGAATGCTGTCGTCTAAGACCTCCCATCGCTCCCCCAGGCGGAACTCCATGACATAATGCTGGATCGGTGCTGTATGATTGGCAGGCAGGATCCAGTTGAGCAGAACTCCCTGCTGCGTGCGATTGGCTGTGAGGCACCGTGGTGGGGTAAGCAGCACCAATGGTTCAGGGGTACTTATAGGAAATACTGAAAGAGCACAAAAGTGTGTGAGAGCAACTCGGTTATATATTCAGTGTTCTGTTCACCAGCATGATACCAGTGAATCATCCTCCTTTACACTTTGACACTAACATGTACGACAACTATAGTGTGAAGTGATTAAGCTCTTATACCAAATGCATCTCTAACACATTCACATGTACATTCACACACATCTTTTACATTACTTAGACTCTGAATCCTCGCAACCTGAAAGTCAATTTCTGGCCTGCATGATGCTATCCAAAAGCAGCCCCTGTCTAAAGGCTTTGTCTTCTTTCGTTCTACTTCTTGGCTGACACAAAAGGTGATGATGCGTGAATATTAATCATAAATGAGTATGTCACTCATCTTTTAAGTGACAGCTTTATTTAGACCCACTGCTGTGAGTAATGCAGAGTGATTCAACAAAGCCTAGTTTAAAGGTATAATATGCAGCATTCCTAAAAAGACAATTTATAGACTCATAAAAAAATAATCCCTCACAATCATCCTTGATGAAACATTGGACCTGTGTGGTGGTCTCCGTATCTGCAGACACCCTGCAGCCTTTAGCCTGTAGTTTCCCTTTTCTTCTTATTTTGCTGTTTGGTCATTTCTGGGCATCAAAAAAGAGCCTTGTTTCCTCTTGCTTGTTCCATGCCCTAACCTTTTTTTTCTTTACTCTACTGGCCTCAGTTGAAACGGTGCTCTCTACATATAAACAGAATATTAAAACATTATTCCATGTTGTTTTCCAATTTCATATTGAAAAAACGAATGCGTTTTTGAGCCAAAGCTTACATTTTTAAATGTGGACTGGGGATGGATATGACTGGACTTGGTCCTACAGTGTATGATCAGAGCGTGGTTAGCAACGGTGTGCTACACAAAAAGAACAAACCTTTTACAGTATTGTCTAAATTGACCAATCAGATTTGATAATTAATCTAAGCTGCGTAATAAATAATTGTATCTCTTTGTTTCAGACTAACAGCAGTAGATATTCATAAGTCTCCTCACCTAGTGTGTTCACAGTGACAACCTCGCTGAAAGGGCCTGTGCCAAGCTTGTTTTGGGCCAGAACGCTGAACTGGTATATTGTCTCTGGCTCCAAGCCGGGCACCACCAACCAGTCCTGGCCTCCAGGCACGGGTATGGAGAACCAGTCATGTGGACCTAAACGCTCCCTCTTCAGCCTGAACAACGGGGTTCAGGAGAGGTGAGCGGACAGAGAGAGGATTTGAAAAAAACATAATGGGGATACTTCACTATTTTGTCTCTATAAGACGGAGGTTAAAGTTAACTTAAGTAAGCAAAATCATTTTAGATACATTTTTAGCTCCATAATTGATCCAACATTACAGACAACATTTTTATTATTTCTTTCATGAATTTGTTCACTTCATTCTCATCTTGACTTTCACTTGATGGTATTAAGCCCATGCTGCGCTCAGCTTTGCAGATTGCTGTTTGCCCATGCCATACATTCAGCGCTCACTGACTTGATCACCAGATAAAGCAGAAAACTGTTACATGCAGCTACAACACTCTCACTGTTTATCCCTGATGGGATTGTAAAAGCAGAGCCTATATTTAGGTAGTTTTGATGTTGCAGGAAACATTTGTAATCCCCCCTACTGAGATGTTTCATTTTAGCAACATAGCTTCTATAGTACTGTGAAATGCAGTATAATTAAATGTAATCTTTAAGGTATCAGTACAATTTGTTTTTTTGTTATAGACTGAGTTCCTTAAAGGTGGGGTAGGTAAGTTTGAGAAACCGACTCGAGATACACTTTTTGTTATATTCCATGGAATGCTCTTAACATCCCGATAGCAATGAATATCTGAAGTGCTTTGACAAAAAATCCATAAAAAAATGTCATCAGTGGAAGCCGTGACGCTGTAAAAAGCACGACTAATCGTCTGAGCCGGCCCGGCTAAAGTAACTGGATGGCCTACCTGCCTGTCAGCCTTCCATCTGTGCACAAACTTATCTCGTGCCCTCATTGGTCATGTGCGCGTTCGTGTGTGTTGGAGGAGGGGCTCTGTGAGGAAGTGGCAGATTTGTTCAGGTTGTGTATTTTCAAATTCTAGCGCACTCGAGCTGGTTCCTCCAAAATTACCTACCCCACCTTTAATATTAATATATGCTGTAGTAGTTTATGTCCCTATATGATACAGATGCATAGTGCTTACTACTATAGGCCTCCATTTAAATGAATAATGTTATATACAGTTTGACAGCAGCGGCAGTAGCAGAAGCGGCGGCAGCAGCAGCAGCAGCAGCAGCAGCAGCAACAGGAAAGACAATTTTGGGTCATGTTCAGTTTTGTTGCAACTGTCTTTATGAGTTCCTGCAGAAAATCCAAGATTAGAGATGAAAACTCACTCAACCTCGATCTCCATGTATTTCGATCTCAACGTTTTAACAACTGTTCTGAACACAACCCTGGAAAAAGACATTTTCAGAAACAACAAAGGAAGTATTGGAAGAAAAAGAAGAAGCAGGAAGCAAAGCATGCTGAGATGACTCACACATGGCCATACCAGACTGAGAATGTCTGCTGGAAGCCTCCGTCATACCCCACCTCCCAGGACACATTGGCCCAGGTAGAGGACGCCACCACGTGGATGCTGGTGGGGGCGTGGGGGCTTGTGCCTGCGGAGAGGGGAGGCAGTGAGGGTGTGTAGTTAAAAGGGCACATTAGTCACAGTGCAGTCTTGCTGTGATCTATTACATGTATTTAACTTGAGAGATGGAACAAGCCTTGTAACATAAAAATGAAATGTATCAATTGAAAAACGATAGCAATAAGAAAGCATGCATGTATCCTTTGTCTTGCTAAATAATTTAAGCTAAGAAAACAGGATGTAGATAGCTTATCTGATCATAACATACATAACATACATAATATACTAGATACATGAAAGACAAGAATAGCTTGTTTCAGCTGTAGCTTCATCCTTCGTTTTTTTTTTTGCGTGATGCAAGTAGTTAGCTATATTTGAGGCCCTTGAACATGATTTTGTATTTGAAAATGAGTCATTTTGAAGCGTTATAAAGTCAACCAGAGGATTGCTTTTTCCCCTGCAAGCTGGCTAATTAAGCTAACATTAGCTTGATTAGCCAGCTAGCTACATCGGATAACAGCTGCAAGCATCAATTTTCCTTTATTGGCTAGAAGTGAGATGTTGCTCTTTTCTCCTTCTTTCTGAAGTCAAGGACACATTTTGTAAATAATGTACACTGCCCATGTTAAACTGAATGTGCCATACTACATTAGCCGCGTTCACACCGGAGTACTTTTCCCCTTTAGTTCCGCTAGTACCCCTTATGTTGCGTTCACACCAAAAAGAGTACCTCATTCACACCAACGCAACTCCGGTTCAAGCTCCGTGCTAGAGCTTTTCAGGTTCAGAACCGGTTCTTCGGTTTAGCTCCGGCTCTTTTCACACCGCCCAGAGTCCGACTGGTGCTGCGTCATTACGTCATCGTTTGCGTCATGACGTAACCGTTTGCGTGCCTGCTTCATAAAGCCAAACCGCGCGGAAACCCCTCACAGCTCACACGGACAACAACAACAATGGCCGATTGTGCTCCAGCTTCCTCTGTACCTCTTCGGAAGACCAGATTCCCAGTAGGTAGCTGGTCTCTTCAGTGGACCACTGCTGCTTGTTAAGTTTCTCCATCGTTGTGTACAAACTGGATAAAACGCCGGCTTTTTGTTGTTGTTCAGGAGTTGATCCCGCCCCTGCCCCCGCCACGACGTAAGCGGGGCTTTTTCTCTAGCCGGACAATTTTTTGGTGCTTGAAACGAACCAGATTCCGGAGCTAAGAGGCTGCTCCGCTGCGGTGTGAACAGGAAAACCCGGTGCTTTTCAAGCTCCAGCTCCGAACCGGCCCTGAAACACCGTTGGTGTGAATGAGGTATTAGTGCCGGGAACTTTTACCCCCATTTTTAGTGCCTGCTAGAGAGGTGGTACTATCCTGGGGGGAAAAAGTGCCCCAGTTCTGATTTGCGAATTGCAAACCACGCCCTGTAAAACTCTGAAAAGTTTTGTGAAGCCGCCATTGTATTTGTGGCATTAGCATTATTAGCATTAGCATTAGCCCCACGCACCAACGGAGACAGAATAACTTATGGCAACACAAAAAAAAACATGGCAGCGGTGGAGATGAGGAGGTGTCGGCGTTCTGGCGATTTACTCGGAAGGCTTCAGTAGAAGCTGCTGGGAGTCCCAGCAGCTTCTACTGAAGTCAGTCCCTAACTCCGGGGACTTCCGGCCGGGGACTTAGGGTGGCAGTATACGCCGTGAAGTTGTTTGCAGCCTGCCAGTAAACCCAAAGCAGAAGAAGACGAAGTGACGTCAGCGGCTCATTTGCGTAATCTTCGCTCAGGGAAAAGTACTCCGGTGTGAACGCGATTGGTACTTAGTGCCCTGGGGTAATAAGTGCCGGAGCACTAAGTGCCGGCACTAAGTACTGCAAAGTACGCGGTGTGAACGCGGCTAATGTAACAGGCAGGCATAGCAACAGTAACTCAGTGGGTGGGACGTAGAGAACTGTCAATTACTGAACTACTCTAGTTATTGTATGTATGTAATATGTGTAGGTTTATATATGTAAATGTGTTTGTGAAGTAGTGTTTATATTGGGTACCTATTACTTGGATGTGCGTGCTGGCAGTGATGCTCGTGGCAACGTTGGTGGCGACACACTCCCACTCCCCATGGTCCTCCTTGGTGAGTGACTTGAACTGTAAGCTGCCCCGGGGCAGAACATTGTGCTTGCTTTTACTGGGCTTGCCTACCTGCAGTCCATCCAGCCAAGGAAAGACAAAGTCAGCCAATGAAGTAGAGATGGAGAGAGGGGACAAAGGGTTGGTACATGTCATTCAAATGTAAAAACTCTAAAAACAGCAAAGGGGCTAGCCAGCTGTTCAACAACCAACCTTGCACATCTCCAACAAGATAATGGCTTTCAAAGTGTATTTTAAGTTTGAGAAATTAGACAGAATGATGCATTTCATAATTGGGAGACAGAAACAATAGCTAATCACACAGTATTCAATGAGCCAGATAAAGCATGCCTGATAATCAAGAAAACAATGGAGAGAAACTAATATCTTCCCTTGATTGCATATTTTATAGACATCATTTAGATGTGATTAAATGCTACAATGATATACTGTATAGTTTAAATAAAAATCATAGCAACAGGTTTCAAAAATGCACTTCTGAATGGAAAACAATGACTGTAACTAAAAACAAATTGTGGGTACAAATGTGGTTACTCAAGAACTCTGGTTGCCAAATCCTATACATAAGAAAGAGGGTAAGTGTGGGAGTTGTCTAACCTTTCTCCATGTGATGTTGGGAAAGGGGTCTCCCTCCGCCTCACAGGGGATGACCAGTTCTCTCCCAGCCTCCTGCCTGTACTCCCCTCCAGGAACCACTGAGAATTTAGGAGGCTCCTGTCCAGGGGGAAGCACCAACACAGGTTAGGTAACAATAATGAGTTGCTTTGAGTTTGTAATGCCTCCAGGAGTGACTTTGGATGTACCTTTAGCACCAGGGGAGCAGGAGAAGACCATCCCAAAGAACCCAGGGCGTTGTAAGGCATGCAGGTATAGGTGCCGAGAGAGTCCTCCGTCACCTCTGCCACACGGATGCTCCCATCGTCCATTTGGCTCCAACCGGGGAACTGTGGATGGAGAAGGGATTGACGATTTGTAAGGAAGAGTAACATTTTGTAACAGACTGATGATTCCAAACCTAGCCTCACACACGGAAAAAAATGAATATCTGTTGACATAGACATTTAATTAAAGCCAAGGTTTTTTTGTTTTTTCAGTGCTAAGGGCAACTGAATCTTTTCACTCAAACAAGAGAAACACTGAAAATTACAGGAAGTAAAGTGACATGGAGCTTTAACGAAATGATGCACTAATTTCCAGTCTAGGGCGGAGTGAAGTGAGTGGAACAAAAGCGCCAGCAGCACACCCGCTCACCTTGTCTATCCGGAGAGGGAGGCCATCTTTCTTCCACTTAACCAGAGTTACAGGGGGGGTTGGCATCTATAGGACAGCGGATGAAGCCAGGCATACCAATGGCCACGTAGATGACGGATGGCATGTTAACCACACGGGCAGGATCTGGTGGAAAACAAGGAAAACACTTTACAAAACATCTCTTTGGAAAGCCGGTGCCTACTTATTCTAACAGCTGTGAAAAAAGATGAGAAATTAAACAGCTTATGGCAAAGGGCCTTTACGTGGAGTTTATGTGTATAGTTCAACATCAATGCAAATGAGTTTTACTCCTGAACTGAAATTAAATGAGGCCTAACTAAACCTCACTACAATCTGCAATCAACTTCCCTTAATCAGACTTTAATTCATGGTGTGTCCATCTTTCCATTTTTTTCAAAATCACTGATCACATTTTTAAATTGTAAATATGGTATTATTTACAGCCAACAGGTATAGAAATTAATACATTATTATTACTAGAACTTTAATCCACAATTGTTATTAGCCTAACTCTTTATAGCTGTTTAAAGGCAGTCATTAACTTTTTCTGATCAAAGATATTAAGAAGGCAAATATTACAATCCCATATTGTCAACAATCACATCTAATTTAAAAACTCTGTACTTTTTACTCTGTAAAAAATATGAATGGCACCACAGTAATATACAATAACCTCTGCAAATGGCTATTGTATAAATTATAAGAATAGGAAATTGACAAGTGTTCATTGTTAATATTATTCAACTTGAAGTCAGTGTTAATCTGTGTTATTTTTGTTTAGACATTCAGTCTATGTCAAAGTGTTGGACCAACCTAAAAAATGCATATACAGTATGAGAATGCAACACTAATACATTCTGTGATCCAACGACACGATCCATAGGAAACTTCCAAAAATATACAGCTATAGCTCTTATTCAACTTTAAATGTAAAATTGTAATTGTATTAAACTCACATGCATTGCACCGCGTACATGGAAGAGGTGGAGCAACTGCTAGCGTTGTGTAAAGTAAACAACCTGCAGCTGAACAAGCTGAAAACCCAGGAAATGATCATTGACTTTAGGAGGAAGAAGACCGTCATGCAGCCCCTGTACATTGATGGAGGCTGTGTGGAGAGAGTCTCAGTGATCAAATTCCTAGGCGTTCACCTGGCGGAGGACCTGTCCTGGAGGACCAATACCACGGCAACCGTCAAGAAGGCACAGCAGAGACTCTACTTCCTGAGAATACTCAGGAATTACCACCTCAGACAGGACCTGCTTGTGTCCTTCTACCGCTGCGCCGTGGAAAGCATCCTCGCCTACTGCATCTGCGTGTGGTTCCTCAGCTGCACAGCCGCAGAGAGGGGTGCGCTCCAAAGGGTCATCAACTCGGCCCAGAAGATCATCGGTTGCCCCCTCCCCTCCCTGGAGGTACTGTACAGCTCTCGTTGCCTTAAGAAGGCAGTCAAAATCCTCAAGGATCCACACCACCCGGGTAATGAGCACTTCGTACGGCTGCGCTCAGGCAGGCGCTTCCGTACTATGTCTTCCCGGACAAACAGACTCAAGTTCAGTTTTTTTCCCAGGGCCATATGTGCACTAAACGCTGCTAATATTTAAATTATATAAGCCTTCCGTGCAATACGAGGGGAATCGTGCAATTTAATGTATTATTTATTTATGTACATATTCCCTATCATGTCTTTTTAAGTCCCATTTATTGCTTTTATAGTGTCTTGTTGTTTTTATATTGTCTTGTTGTTGCGTGTTGGCACCTTGAGTTTATTGTAATTTCGTTGTACCTGTACAATGACAAAATTAAAGATCTATCTATCTATCTATCTATCTATCATTGGATCTCAATGTTGCACCCACAACCACAAAGGTTTAATTTAACCATAATATCATCCATTGAAAATCTTCCAATAATTGAATCTGTGTTTCCTCAAGTATGTTTTTTTAATATGAATTACATTTTCACGTTTTATCCCACGTGACCCGTCTATTCTCAATCAGTCTAATCAGATCCGCTCTCAACTGGTGGACTTTTATTACTAGATTCTTACTATATTTGCTCCACATTAGGGGCTATGATTTCACATTTTCTCCCCTGTATTCTAAGTATTAAATAATTGGGATTTGATATGGGCGAGCCATATCCTCAAAGACAAGCACAAAAAAAGGAGCCCATGTGGCAAAGGAAAGGAGCTACGATTAGAAAAAGGAGGGGAAAGTAAAAAGCTCAAATGTGTCCATCTTTAATCCTGAATTGTGAAGCAGTGAGAGGTGGTTTCTAATGAGGTCAAGGAGGAGAACATCAAAGTAGACACTGGGTAATAAGGAGGAGAAATTATGGGAGTGAAAGGAAGAGGAGAGGGGGGAGAGGAGTGAGCACCATCAGCGGAGAGATAGAGGCTGAGCACGAGCGTGGGAAAGAGGACAGGTGTGAGAGAGAGGGAGGGATGACGTAAGGTGGAGAGGAGCCGCTGGAGGAGAGGAGGGTGAGGTGGTGAACACAATACAGCAAGGAGAGGGGAGGAAGAGTGACTGAGTGAGCGTATGACAGCGTGACATGATGGGATGGATTCAAACACACAGACAGATCGATTGGTCACACTGTTACCACAATAACTTTGTCCCACAGCTGCTATCCTCCCAAGTCCTGACCGCCAGCCCTCTGCCACAAACAGCCCCCCCCCCCCAGCGCCGCCACCATCACCACAGACAGGGATATCAGCCAGGATTCTTAAAATAGCCCTCAGACAACGCTATCGCTCACGACACGCTGGTGCCCACTGCACCATGCTTTAGGGAACTTATTCTCTGGCAAGCTTTTCAGGGACAGAGACAGGGGGAGGACGGAGGGGACGGAGGGGGAGAGGTCCAAACAGAATGAAAAAGAGGAGAGGAACAGGGAATGACATAAATTAAGGATTGAGTGAGGAAGAGGGGAAAAATAAAGGATGAGAATAAGAGGAAAGAAAGAGAGAGCAGTCTGCAGTTTGACAGAGAAGTCCCTGCTCTTATAGCAATGATGTAATCCCCCCTCTCACCCCCCCCCCCCTCTCCTCTCACGACTGGTGTTGCCTGTCTCTGTTCGCGCCACACACACACACACACACACACACACACACACACACACACACACACACACACACACACACACACACACACACACACACACACACACACACACACACACACACACACACACACACACACACACACACACACACACACACACACACACACACACACACACACACACACACACACACACACACACACACACACACACACACACACACACACACACACACACACACACACACACACACACACACACACACACACACACACACACACACACACACACACACACACACACACACACACACACACACACACACACACACACACACACACACACAGCAGTCTAATGGAGTTATCAAGGATTGCAAAGGAATACAAAATGTTTCGTTGCCTTGACTACTGCCAGTGCCCGGTCACCATGTCGATGATGCAAAACATCTGTCGTCAAATCCAAATAAGAGCCCTAGTGACAAATTCACCAGACGACATCTCTCTACAGCCCCAGTGACTGGGGGAGTGCTTCATGGAAGGAGAAAATAACGAGGAGGCAGCGAGATGAGGACAGAGGGAGGGAGAGAGGGATGTGCTGCTGTACATACATATATATATATATATAAGTACAAATGAGAAATGAACAGAGAGGGAAAGGGGATGCTGGGGATAGAGACAGCAAACGTGGAAAAAGTGTTCTTGAGAAAACTAATTGGCGTAGAGGTGGAACAGTGTTGGAACTCATTCCACAGTGCAGAGGATGAAAAAGAGTCATTTTGTACCCAAATATGAAAGTTGACGACTATCTACAATTATCTACAGTGTCAGATAACTACCAATTACAGATAAGCCTTTGTTAAAACGTAATCCCTCTCAGCTATGTAAAAAGGATTTCTCTGTGAAAGCTATCATTTGTAAATATAGTCATGAATTATGAGAAAGCATATAAGCTTCAAGAAGTCTGAAATGCGTGTGCATATCCTATACAACCTTCAACAGTAGGTTGCTTCTATGCACATTGATCATGCGATCAATATATAATATCATTTATAATGTATACCAAACTTTAAGGTCATCTTTTTCGTGAAGTATTGGTTCTTGGTTCGGGAGTGGTTCAGTCTGTAGGGGATTGGATTTAGGACCGAAAGGTCGCCGGTTCATGTCCCCGATCGGACCAGAAAATACGGAGTGTGAACTGGTACTGGAGAGGGGCCAGTTCACCTCCTGGGCCACTGCCGAAGTGCCCTTGAGCAAGGCACCTAACCCCCAACTGCTCACTGGTGCCGGCTAGACTGGCTGCCTCTGCTCTGACCTCTCAACTGCATGTGTGCATATAACTTTGTGTGTGTATATGTATGTACATGTTCTAAAAAGTGTGTACTGTATGACCTGTATAAAAACACATGTGTGTGTACGACAGAGTAGAAACTGAATTTCCCCCTTGGGGGATTAATAAAGGTCCATCTTCTTCTTCGTCTTGCCGTGCAGCCGAGAGGGGTCAGCTTAGAACTGGTTTTCGGTGCTTAGAGCCGGCACCGCTGTGGTGGAAACAGGAAGAACCAGAGCTAAATCAGGCTGTACTGTAGCCCGGAACTGTCTCTGGAACCGGTTTGGAGGAAACGGGGCATAAGTGAGCTCTACAGCAGGATAAAAAGCTACCTTTATATGGAAAATGTGTCAAATCAGTCAGCCTGGTGAAGACAGAGTGAAGAATGCTGCTGACAGAGTGATGATGGCAGGGACGACCAAGGCGGGGGTCAGAGTGGACAAAAACAGACTGAACCACAATTTATCTAGATACAATCTTAATCTCTTCTACCCTGAACATTTAGCAAGATTAGCCTCAGGTATGGAAAGTACAGAGTTGTGTGTGTGGTTTCGACCCAAACAATCCAAAAGGACCGTCAGAAGACAGAGAGGAACCAGGACAGACTCTAAAGTTTAGCACAGTGAATCAAGGTCAGAGAGCAAAGCAGGACACTCACATTGCACTGTTAGGAAGGCAGAGGCAGTTGGTGGTCGGCCCAGGCTGTTGCTAGGAGCACAGGTATATTTCCCAGAATCCTCAGGTTTGACTTGGGCAATGATGAGGGAACCGTCAATGAGAATACTGACTCTGCGCTTCAGGTCACTGTGAAAATGAAGTGAGAAAAAATGGATGTTAGGAAGAAATGTTTGTTATCTGATTGTAATCTGTCAGTGTGGAGAAAAACATTTAACAAACATTCAAGTCATATTACAAAAAAGATTTCAACAGATGCCTTCCACATAGAAGCTTTGGTGTTGTGTGATTAACCTTCCTAGTGCTGAACACAATTTAAACCTACATTTTCAGAATGAAATGGGAATATTAATGGATGGATAAACATGTATACTGTCACTGATGTATGGTTAAAGGCTGATGTGGACTGTATGTTTGTTCAGAGCTAATGCAATCTATATTTGTTTTTGCTTGAGCCAATGAAAAATAAAGACATTTGTCATAAACAATATTTGCTATGTCCCTGTAAACTATTTGATATGACTTGGCACAAAGTCTATTTTTCGAATTAAAGGAAGTCAATACATTTCAGTTCAATTATGTGTTTAATCCAAATAAAAATATGCACGTTATCATACCATTTTTTATCATTTGAGAAATACAATTTAATATAAATAATTGTTCTATCCAATCAAAAGATATAATTTAATAACCTTTTTTTTTTAATAGATTACATCAATAATCTTCAATACACATTGGTATTTGTTAACTTGTTTATAACTTAACAAACATGACCTCATTTATATGTCATTTATTTATTCCCCAAAAGCACAAACTCATTACAATACACATGTAAGGTTTATGGCTTTATTGATACCAATACCAACTTTGCCAGATGCAAAGACGTTAAATCTGTATAAAGCGCTCCGTGTTGAACTGAAGGATCACACAGATCTGGGCTTATGCTTGACTTGGCGTCATGCACAGTGCCTGCAGAGTTTCCAGCAGCAAATTCAATCTCTAAAATCAATTTTTTTTAGCATGACACCAGTGAAGGTTTAGCCTGGCAATATTGCTGTAGTACTTTGTATTGTTCCTATGTTACCCTTCCAACTTCAAGAACACTAGATCAAATTTGGAGAGTTGTTGCCATTGGCAATATTGTTCAAACTAAAACCATTACACACATTTAAAAAGGGGCTTGGATCTACATCACCTGCCTTGTCAGTGTTGCAGAGAGACCAGAAGAGGTTTCTTAGAAGAATCTTTAATTTTTTAAGGGAAGAGGATTAGGGCTAAAAGCAAGACACATTTTGATCATGGTAACTCAAACATTGCAAAAGTGTGAATATAGTTCCCTTCGTCAATAAAAAAACTACCCGAAGGAAAGTTCTCACGAAAAAGAAAGGAACAAATCCCAGGTGAGATATTATTCTCCACTACATAATGTCGAAGTAAAAACCTTTTTTGACCTTTAGCCACGAGACCCGACAGATTCTGAGCCGCTGCAGAGCAACAACCATTTCCCCTTCAGGTAATGTTGATTGAATCATTTGTTCAGTCTATATTTGCTGAATTATTAAAGACACATCATAATATGTCTACCGTGTTGTTTGCTCCTTCTGCAGCTATAGCACAGAAGGAGCAAACACTGTATCCCCATTCAAAATCAGAATTATCATCAAATACAGTATGCTTAAAAATCTTAAAATGGCACTTATATACTTGAATTACTTTACCTTTTATGAAGGCGTATCAAATGCTTTTGCCTCACACATATCAGAGCCTGTGGAGTGTTTTCACAGCAGCGCAGCGTGCCAAAGGGCTTTGTGCAGGTGAATAAAGATCAGCAGGTGTAGAGATTCTTAAACACTCTCAGCCCACCTAAACAGCTGAGCTAATCACAGCTAACGTGATAACAGAAGCTCAGCATGAATGTGTGGATTTTTTCACAGTATTAAAATTATATACTGACTAATACTTAAAAGATCTATTAAAAAATCGTATTACTAAATTGAAAAAGCTTGCAACATCCAATAAATGGAACCCATTAAAGATAAATGTAATGAAGTCAATGATTTATAAAGCCATAATATCATTTTAAAAATAGAATATTTGTTAGTTGCACTGCAGCAATAACTGCGGTATTACAGTGTGTTCCTTTCTGCAAACTGTCTGCAGACCACAATAACACATTCAGAACTTTACTTCTTGAAGAAGACGTTGTCCTCCTCCCAGAACCAGGTGTAGGTCAGGTTGCGAGGGTAGGCCTCCGCCTGGCAGGTGAAGAAGGCGTCCTGCGAGATGTTCACTGTGATGTTCTCAGGGGGGGACACGATGAAGGGAGGGCCTGGGGCAGGAAAACAGAGGCAGTTGTCAAAAATGGTTAAAAAATACTCATCAAATAAATGAAATACAACATTTAGTCTAGCTGGAAATTCATTTTTTGCTAGGACAAAAACTGAAATTTGAAAAATAAGGAACAGAGGCTGTCACTTTTATTTAAAATTCAACTGGTTAAATTCAAGATAATATAAAAAAAAAGAAGAATATTCAATTCATAATCATATTTTCAATTGGTTAAACTTTTGAATACACAAGATAAATGAATCTAATCTGTGTTCAGCTTTATATTCTGCTATCTTAAAATAGCTTGCTGTCCTCATGGGGCACATGGGGCAGTGTGACATTCACAAAGACGTCCCACAGATACAGCCTGACCCCTCTCAGTGGGACCGCCCCACTGCACACACAACACAGTGATTAGTTACTTACTGGGCAGGGGTCATGCAGCCATGTGCACATAATGCACACACAAACACAGAATCAACACCGCTCTGCATCCTGTTAAGTGTCACTGCAGCCCCCAGAGTCATATCAAATACTTATTTTGCACTCAGTAAGGATTATTAGAGTTATTGAGTGATCCTCGCTGTGCCAGACGGATCATCCTCCTTGCACGTGTGGATACTGTATATTTATACTCTGATGCTGGATTTGAAGACATTTCCTAGCTGTGACCATAAATACATCCATAAGCACGCTGAGTTTGAAAAGCAGCCTATCTTACCATCCTATACTTTCAGTTTATTAGCACAGAATAGGTGTTTGGAGCATGTGAGCATATGTTTGAATACCGCCCAAAATATGTTATATATATGAGTATACAGCTTAGGATAACTGAGCTGTTGCTAGTGAAAGATTAGGTGAGTTTGATCGTGTCAGCTCTGCTTTCTAATATGTGGATTTGTTTATTTTAATCCTAAGATTTTCTGCAAAAAACAGACGATTCACTTTAAAGTCCAATTACAAAACAGGACGTTGATAGACGAATGTAAAGTGAGACAGAGAGGGAGAAAGTATCAATGGGCCAAATACCAAAGACATCTATCTGTGACCCCCTCAGTGGGCTGGAAAAGGTAAAAGAAAGTCTTTAAAGATTGTGCTAAATACTGGAGTCAAGATTGAAAACAAAGTAGTCATGCCACCAGACTTTAAGTACACAGGCCTAGTAGATACTTGGTGATTGATGAATAAAGACATTTGTTTCAGCACTTCAACTATGCTGCTCTGGGAGTGGATGAGATACATTCAGTAAAGAAACAAGTTAAGACTACAAGTAAAAGTAAGGAAATTAACTACCATTCAGGGACACTGTCTTTTTCTTAATTAGATAATGTAAGTGAAAAACATTGTGTGCACTCTGACAGTACAATAATCAAAAGAAAATTAATCATATTCTTATCTAAAACCTCTATTAAGTCTTTCTGTCTGGATGTACCCCCTTTACACTTTTTATTTTAATTGCTTGTCTCTGGATTAGAACATTTGAGACTCTTTCATTTACACTGTTGGCTGGCTACCTGTTCATGACAGAAACAAAGAGATATTGGTTTGAGAAAGGAATTTCCAGCAAACATTTAAATATTTCTACAGCAGTATAAAATGACAGCTATGAATCACATCTTTGATGAAAGAATATGAAATATTGTAAAAATGCGAAATACAGTATATCCAATGATCACTTTGGTAGCAGATTGTCCTCATCTCATTTTATGTTCATTAATGGTTTCAAGTTCATCATCCAACAAACCTACCCAATTTGGCTTGCTTTAGTTTACTTTATATAAGTTAAAGTTCTCTAGGAGAATGTACTTTATGTTCAGTACAGTAAAAAAAACAATACAAAAAGCATTTCTGTCTTCAATAAGGAAAACTGTCAGCTACTGAATAAACTAAGCAGTATACTTTGCCCTTCTCCTTAAAAACACTCAGCACTGCACAGAATTTCAAATGAAAATCCTGCAGCCTGCAAGAACATTAAGTGAGACAGAATGTATAACTGTTGGCTAATAATAACCTTCAAACGTCACCGCAGCACACATTTATCCTCATATTGCATTCATTACTTTTGGTCCTCATAAGGATTGACCCATAATGCGGCCCCCTCACTAACACACACTGATACACTGCTAGCCCCATAGTACTGATCTGCAGCCCAGGGCCTGATCCTTTAACAGGCATTTCCATCTGCCAGCCCCTTAGCAGGACGACCAGCACCGGGCCTGGGCTGATAAATGTGTTGATGGTGTGTGTGTGTGTGTGTGTGTGTGTGTGTGTGTGTGTGTGTGTGTGTGTGTGTGTGTGTGTGTGTGTGTGTGTGTGTCCGCCCTATTTGTACCCAGCTGAGTACTGGAGATTTGTTGGCACTGTAGTCTCTTAGTTGATCTGCTGCTCAGTGGCTTTCCAAGAGCACTTCTAATAATCCGTCTCTCCCCTGAATTATAAAAGTCAAACAAGGGCTCTGGCTCGGTGCTGTCTATGTTCCCAGTCACTAAAGGAAATATGTGATCTATTTCAACGTGTTAACTGTCTGTTCGATGACAAAGGGAAGCATCCGAAAAACACAAAAACAGAGCGTTGGATTGATGGAAGCAAGCTTAAATTCATTATTTGGAATAACGCTAAACACCAGAGTACATATTTCCTCCACCTCGACGTATCCACTACACTCCAAACTCTATCTTCTTGTACAAAGCATGCACACGTTGGTTAGGGTTAGGGTGAGAGAGAGCAGAAATGCAGACATTAATCACACACATGTTCTGGCTGGACTGATCAGGTTTGGCTCAGAATGTATGCCCAGCATTTCATCCAATAGGAATACCCACTTTAAAGTATGTCTGTGAAGTGTCATAGATAAGACATCTGTGTAACCTTATCATTATGAAGTACATTTTAAATGTGACCATATGATGGCGGGAAGAAAAGGATTAGTTTCCTATGAGCTGTTCCTATGGACTCAATTTCCCTTTCACAATCAAAGCCCTCGACATGAACAGTTATCACTGTTACAGAGAGCATTTCATTATAGAAAGCAACTAAACAATACAGCGTACAGTACTGTAGCTAGAAGAGCCTTGTTGACAGAGTAAACAAAGAAGGCAAAGAGGGAGAGTGCTAAACAATATTCTTTTTACCAAGCTTGGTCAGTAAATGTCTGTCTAGTAATTCTACGGGGTGTTTTACTTTGCCTGTATCATACTCACTGAGGTTTCTAGTTCTATTGGAATTGTATGGTTGTTTCTTCACTTGATCATGAAGTGAAATCTCTGCTAATGTACTTATATTTGTATCATTCTGTTGGAAATTAAACAATCTGTTAAGGTCTCAGTGAAAGTGAGATTTACAGAGTCTCAATTCCCGGAGTTCATCTGAGGTCATGACTGTCCAGCTGTGCTCTTTGGCAGCGCTCTTTGAAGGAGATGACCTGGAATGTCTGCTGCTTAATTTATCCATTTGGTTTATCAGATCTAAGGTCCCTGCACAGATACATATTAGTGTCGACTTTCAATTTCGGAAAAAAAAACGTTAAAATGATGAGCATTGATGTGTGATGAGGCAGATCTTAGAGAATGTGTTGATTCAGAAGCAGAGTGTGAGCTGATACAGACAGATGTTCGAGTTATAGAAGCTGACATTATATGTTGTAGTAGCTGCAAGCTTAAAGCACTATCCTCCTCTGACTTCTTTTCTCTGTGGACCTCTATAAATAATGATCTGCTCACATATATGAATACAATTGTTATGGTCCATCTAGTGTTAAATGTTCTAAAATGCATTTGTCACAAAACTAATTTCAGAGTTGTCTAGTCTCACTAATAAACATACTATTTAAATTCTACTCAGCCTGCTGTGATAGCATACCATCAGAGAAGAGATATATTCAGTGAACACATTTGAAATCAAATGAAACTTTTACCATTGTTGATGCTGTTAAGCTTATTGTTCTAACTCAATGGCAGTTGGACATGCTTTATGAGGGTTTTCTGAAGAAAATCATACTTTTCTATGTGTGTGGTCTCAAACATTTAGAATGACTAATGACGAAAGCTCTACATAAGTGATTTTTCTGCAATAAAACTTTACAAATCGGAAAAGCAATCCATGGAAACATTACTGCTGTGCATGCTATTGTTACTTAGAGCTAACTTTGTGTTGTATGGGGTTAGTAGCTACTGTTTCTGCCATGTAAAAAACATTGTCAGCACAAAACATTATAGTCTTAGGAAAAATAAGAAAGTTGTTGAGATCTCCATATTAGGTTGAACACTTAAAACGAAAGTTAGTTATAATCAAATATAATCAATTATATTCTTGTATAACCCACAATGAAAATGCTTCATATTTTATGGTTTTCTATATTTACAGTACTGTATAAACAAAACACAAGTTGTTTGTTAAGTTGAGTGTAAGGCCTATTATGATTTATGGGTGTCACTGATAAGAAAGAGGAGACAGTTTCTTCCCTCTTCCCTCACAGCAGTACACAGGGAGGGGGGCTCCTGACTTTTTGGAGAAAGAATGAGGGCCCAAAAAGGTGTTTGTGCCATAGCCGAGAATAATATTTTGCAAGTCCTGCACACTAGTAATTGACCACAGCATGAAATATTCTGTATGATTGTCATGTTGTAACGGGAGAAGGTAGAAACCCTGTATAAGTGTGGACCAATTTTTCTTCAAATAAACTGATCCTACCTTTTGGATTGGGACAACTTAAAAGACATCTGCGCTCTCCTCTCCTGCTTCAAAGGTAAGATTGCACCCTGCCACACTCACACTTAGGTAGGGCCACACCTCATTTACTGATATCAAAATCCTTCGGGATTGCTTAAACAGATTTAGCGGGTCGTCTGAATTGAAACAGCAGTTAATTGAACCTGGTTCTCCAGGAGTTAAGAGGTGAGAACTTGCTGACGTTGGTGGATCTGAGCCAAGCAGTAAACTTACATAGACTCAATAACTTCTGTTAGGTCAATTAGTAGGTCTGAGTCATTTGACGGAATAAATTATCAGCCCTCCCGACTCCCAAGAAAGTAAAGAAATGCATCAAATCCAATATAAGTTAAGATAACGTAAATTAAACAAAAATGTCACAAATGAGCACGCAACAGCATCGCTTCTTTAAAACGCTAATCTCTCAATGAATGAATGAATGAATGAAAACTTTATTACAGACTCAGGGTCCAGATAAAAGACAATACATTACATAGATAAAAGACAAGACATTACATATAATAAATTACATACACAGCATAAAAATAATTGATAGTTTAAGAATAATTTAAATCAGTGTCCTACAAAGAGACAACTATACCAATGTCTCCACAGCTGCGATTGGTAGCGTGTAGTACTAAACCATATGTTCGATAAGGCCAAGAGGATTTCATTATCAGAGTCATTAAGCCGGCAAATACATTTATACATAAGATTTCTTAAAACAGCTTGTAGAGTATTGACTCCTGCAGCCACAAACATTTCACTTGCACTAGACCATCGAGGTCTCTTCAGCAATATTCTCATGGCATCATTATAAGCTACTTGAAGTTTCCGTAAACTTGCTTTTCTGTAGTTTGACCACAAATAGCAATCCTACTAAGCATCACATTCATACCTACCAGAATAGTGACATGTTGCAATACTTTATCTAATCTGTACATTCTGTATAATGAACCCTGGCAGCTACCACAGTCATGAACCATCTCATTAAATCTGTTTCAAACTGTTGAGTTAAAGCAAATAAATGTGATTCCTGAGTGCAGAGTGGAGCTATCCAAAAACGTGTCCAACAGAAAAACTCAGTTTAAAGCATAAATTAGTTTGATGGAAGATGTGGCTCAGTGTCAGCTGTTATATATCATGCTGTCTGAGGATGAAAACACATGGAATGACAGATATTGTAAAAACTCAACCTGCATAAATCCAATAAAAAAATGTAATAGCTGTTTCTCAGATACTCTCCTTATTAAAATTAGTGTGTGTGACACATGCAGCTACCTTGTACTAGCAGCCTTGTGGTGTGAACGACTTCTCCCTGGGGGCTGAAGGCTCGACATGTGTAAGCTCCACGATCCTCACGGGTGATGGATAGCACTGTCAAACTCCCATCAGACACCTGCACACACACACACACACACACACACACACACACACACACACACACACACACACACACACACACACACACACACACACACACACACACACACACACACCACACACACACACACACACACACACACACACACACACACACACACACACACACACACACACACACACACACACACACACACACACACACACACACACACACACACACACACACACACACACACACACACACACACACACACACACACACACACACACACACACACACACACACACACACACACACACACACACACACACACACACACACACACATTAAAGTACTGAGAGTGCAGGAAATACATTTGTAAGATCAACATTTTATCAAAAAAAAGGATGAATGTATAAGAATTAGTAAGTAATGTAATATTTAAAAATAATAACATGGAAATGGCGCCCAAGTTTGATAAAAGAATGAATTAACAGAACATCAGAGATTTTACTGTTGATTGCATGTTTGTGCTGAATGAAAGCTTATTTTGACTTGCGTCTCATCGATTATAAAACAAATAAGAGATCTTCTGTGTTTTATATTCCTCAAGGTGAACCGTTTTTTGGCCAAATGTTGTAAGATGATTAATAACCCTGCAGCAGCACTTTTACAATCTATTTTATAATTTACCAGGAGCCAGTGTAAAGATTTAGGGGCAGGAAGAACACAGTTAGTTTTCTTAGTTGTTAATAAGATGAAGTTGTTTACTGCATGGAGGACCAGTACAGTTATGCACTCTGCTGGATATTTGTCTGAACATGACATTTGTTATTGTTGCTTTTCTTTCATAGGATAAAATGCTGATGTAGATATGTGGCTGCAAAAGCTTGGATCTGAGTATATTCACACCAAGATTACTGACGAAAATAAGATGTACTTTATTGATCCCAATTTGGGATTTTTTTGTTACAGCAGTTCCTTGACCTTTTTGCCTTTTTTATTCTGCATTTGGATCCTATGGGTTCAGAACAGTCTCATAATACACACATGCACACAGAAGGATTCACACTTGTATTTCATGATCCGCAAAAGGATTCACACTTGTATTTCCGGATCCACACTTGTGTTTTTCACACAAATGTGTTCCGTTTCATATACATGTAAATAAAATCCAAATACAGAAAAAAGTTTTACATATGTATTTTTGATCCTCACATATTTGTTTTCCATTTAAAACCTCTGCACCTGCAAACACAAACAGCTTTCTGTGTACGGATCACTGTGTATTCGTGTGTGGGTTTTTTGAGACTCCCCTGACGGTCAGCCGATTCGTACTTGTAATTTTTTCTATCTATAGCCAATCAGATGTCTCCTCAATTCTAAGCCAATCACATGAGCGCGCCCCACGAGGGTAGATTTCTTGTGTTCATGACGTAGCGCTTCATGTACGCATTTTGCGCGGTCCGGAGCTGACAGGTCCATGGAGCCTGCCTGTAGGCGCTAATCTCAGGACACCTCCACTCTCAGTCAGGGTCGGCGTCATGGGGGGTCATTCGCGGGCCATGCCCCCCCCAAATTAGTCACTGTGCCCCCCCAACGCAGGGTGGGCAAGCCTTTCCACTTGGCCGTTTTTTTTTTTTTTTAAATCATATAAGTGAAAACGTTTCCACTAAAGTTTTTTTGTGTGAAATACATCAGAAATAAAGAATACAAATATAAAACACAGCCTGAGGTGTGCTCACTGCTGCACTCTGATTGGTGTGTTGCTTGACCAATGACCCCCGACCTTTGTTTTGTTATCATTACGTGGCTGTGTGTTTAGATGAAAGCCCGGTGGCGATCTGTTCATCTGTTACACTGATTATACAGTAAAGCCATCGAAAATAATATGATATACAGTACAGTACAAGTAGCCTACTTCTGGGTCTCTGTGTTTCATTCAAGCTCGGCGCATTTTGTTGCACGAGCGCATTTTGTGAGTGCGCGAGCGGTAACGTGGAATGTTGTTGTTAGCATCTGGTTAGCTAGCTATGCTAACAGATATAAAGAGCTGTTTCTACACCAAGGTGGAGGAGAGTCCTCTCCTGTCAGACTGAGAGGATCGTATAACCTCAGCTCAGTGAGGTAAGGACTCTCTCAGTGTTTAGATAGTTAACTTTAGTGTAGGTTATCTCAGTGGGTCTCAAACGGTTTGGTCACCATTTATGTAAACCAGTATTTGCGAGGAATACCTTTATATGATCATTATAGTTATTAAAGAATAAGAGAATAAATGAAAAACGGGTATGAAATACTATAGGACAGTAACACAAGAATACAGTTTAAAAGGGGAGTGATTAGTAAAATATCCATGAAGAAAAAGTAAATCTGTGTACAGTTCTGTTTCATATGGATGCTGAGAGATGTAAGCTATCCATAGATCTCTTCATTTTGCTCTCAAAGTGCACCAGATTGATGCATTTAACTTCAATATTTTAAAAACAATCTTCCCGGGGGAGGTTAGGTCCACCCCCACCTAAAACATGTTCACATGGATAGGATACTAAATACATTTGCACCCTTTTTGTATGGTGGCCTATGTCCATATGTTTCTGTTTTGGTGGTCGTGCCACAACCGTGCATGTATGCACAAGTCATAGGTGCGCTAGGAAATAGCACTACACCCCTGCAATGTGTGTGAAAGACAATAAACTTTACAGCATGTTTTTTGAAGTTGCGTTGGTTCTTTTTGTTGGTTGTTGACGGCAGTGTGTGCCCCCCCTTGGTAATTGATTGCCCCCCCATTCGATTTGTTCTAAAGCCGACCCTGCTCTCAGTACATTGCCACTTTCCGAACAGGAAATGCACGCAAATACAATATTTTATATTATTAAGGTACAGTGCCACTTTCAGAACCATTGATGATTGTGTACACAAAAAAGGTAGGCAAAACTGTTTTAAATGTGTGTTTCCTGTATGGCGAATACAGCTGCTTTATTTATGTCTGTATGAAGTTGTTGTGAGTGTGGAGGGAGCAGCTACAGGTTAGCTTAGCCTAATCGACCAGTGCACTACGAAGCCAGTGCTCGACAGTCAACGGGGGGGAGCCCCGCCGGTCATTATTGGCCGATATTCACTCTTAATAGTTTGATCGGTGCTCTCTATAAAGGCCGATCAGGAGAGCTGGATCTGATCGATATGGACATAAACGCGAGTGAAGTATAACTGGACGCGAGAGAGATCAGATCAGCTGCTGAGTCTGATGGAGACACGCAGCTCTGCATAATCACCTGAAGCTCCGCCCTCTGTTTAGCGAGCTGACCGGACAGCGCAAAATGCGTATATGAAGTGTCATGAACGCAATAAATCATACCCTCGTGGGGGCGCGCTCATGTGATTGGCCTAGAATGGAGGAGACATCTGATTGGCTATAGATAGACAAAATTACAAGTACAAATCGGGTGAGCGTCAGGGGAGTCTAAAAAAACCCACACACGAATGCACAGTGATCCGTGCACAGGAAGCTGTTTGTGTTTGCAGGTTCAGAGGTTTTGAACGTAAAACAAATATGTGAGGATCAAAAATACATATGTAAAACTTTTTTCTGTATTTGGATTTTATTTACATGTATATGAAACTGAACACATTTGTGTGTGCATTGAAAAACACAAGTGTGGATCCGGAAATACAAGTGTGAATCCTTTTGCGGATCATGAAATACAAGTGTGAATCCTTCTGTGTGCATGTGTGTATTATGAGACTGTTCTGAGCCCATAGGATCCTACCTTTTCCCGAATACTGACAGAATGAACCGACCTAATTTGGACCCAGCCGATTCTGTTTTGTTGGCTCAATAGGCGGAACCAGTGGCGGTTCTACGGGGTGGCAGCTGCCACCTCAGAAAAATGCCTTGCCACCCCAGTTGGCAGCTTTGTTTTGAAAGAAAAGTTGTGGCTCATCGAGCAAGTGAATGCAGCACAAGACGCGAGCCTTGTAACCCCTCCCCCGGCGCGAGCGTGGAAATATGATTGGCGGCGATTTCATTTGAACGGGACGGTGCAAAACGAGAAGCATTTCGGATCCAAGTAGACGGAAGGAATGAGGTATTTGCGGTCTACAATGACATAGAAGAGACTGTCAAGTTTGGCTGTACTCAGCATTGAATCAAAACGCACTAAAGCTTTAGATCTTAATAAGTTTGTGAGGCATTTTGCCGAACAATATGGTAATCGCCGTATTCCGCTGTAATAGGCATGCCAACTTGATCCTCTGCTCACGGATGAGTCGATGAGAATAATAAACTGTTAAGATGATGACCTTACGTGTGTATAATATTTTTCTTCTTTGTGGGGTTCTGCCCCCAAAAAACAGTTTAAAGTCCTGAGGAAGTCAAATAAGACGGTGTGTAAAACTTCACTGCCCAGCCAACAAAAAGTAACCTTTGATTTAACTAGGCCAGTAGGTAAGGACTTTCCACTGGATAATAACTGCAGCGATGTTTATGTTTTAGCTGAATACACGTTTTTTAACCCTAACTGATGCAGTTAGTCACTTCTTTAATGTTTGTATGATGTAAAGTCAAGGTTGTAACTGTTTGCAATGAAGTTGTGGGGCGCTGAACTGTTCCTTTGATTCTTTTGATTTATGATAGTAATTACTTGTCTTTCAAATTTGAAGGAGGGTGAGCAAGCATCTTGAGGAACATTCATCATTAACTCCTCCAAAAAATATAGTTTATTTAATAATAACACTGAATATGTGAATCATAACAGTGATTGACAGCTGATAGGAATGATATGATTATTAAGAGTATCATATTAATTTAGACAAACATCGACGAGACAGTTAATTAATGTACTTATTGCAGCAGTCTGCATAGATTTGGTTCCCCTGCTGGTCTAAGAGTGAAACAAACTCATTCAGTTATTGTTCAGTTAAAATTCATCAAATTATGTCTGCCACCTTATATATTTATATTTAAGGCTTTACTGATGTGCCACAATAATGTCACCTAATGTTATTGAGTTAAAATATCAATATTGTGGCTTTCCAAGTTAACATTGATTGATATGACTGCGATTAAATCAGCATATACTTCTGCCAGTGGATGCCACCCCTGAAATTCTCCTGCCACCCTCTTGCCACCCCATGAATATGTGTCTAGATCCGCCCCTGGGCGGAACGTCTTGGGTACTCTATGGAGTACATTTGTTATACCTGGTATGACGCCTCATCTAGACGGGGTAGAGTGGCTGCTTTGAAGGAGGCACGCCGGGAGGTTGCTCGCAAGCCCTGGCTCAGGAGCTTGTTGCTTGAGTGGCTACAAACTTTTACAAGTAGCCCTGAAAACTTGTCTCAAGCCTCTAACCCTTTCCTGGGATCTGGCCTGGCCTTGGGAGGCCCGCGGATCCTCCGGAATGTTTCTGGAAGATGCAATGCCAGGATTCCAGCCCGTGCTCCAGTAGCTCCAGTACCGGCCCCAGCAGCCATGGTCCCGGCTCCAGTTTCGGCTCCAGTACTGGCGTACCAGCCGACTCCAGCTCCCCGTCTCCTGTTGGCGTACCGGCCGACTCCAGCTCCCTGTCTCCTGTTGGCGTACCGGCCGACTCCAGCTCCCCGTCTCCTGTTGGCGGTCCGGCCGACTCAAGTCCCTACTTCATCGGGGGTCCTGCCGACTCAAGACTCAAGTCCCTTCTCAAGTCCCTTCTCAAGTCCCTTCTCGAGTCCCTTTTCAAGTCCCCTCTCGAGTCCCCGCCCGAGACCCCTTCCTGTTCCTCTGCCTTGCCCCAGGGTCGTCTGCCCGAGACTCCTTCCTGGTCCTCTGCCGTGCCTCCGGACCCCCTCCACCCACCCTTTTGGAAGTGTTGGACTTTGTGTTGGATGTCTTGAATCCTTCTCTTGAGGGGGGGGGTTCTGTCACGATCTTAGTTTTATGTCACGGTCTGTCTTGTCATGGGTTTTATTTTGCAATTCTATTCTCCCTTTGTCTTGTGTTCTTTCCTGTGTTTTCCCTCCTGTGTCTGATTGTCTGATTGTGTTCACCTGTTGCCCTTGTGTTTCTGCCTCCCCTGCCCAGCTGTGTCTTGTCCTGTGATTACTCTTCTTTGTATTTAGTCTTGTCTTCCCCTGTGCTCCATGTCGGTTCATTGTCTTTCCTGTCTCCCTCTATGTTGGTCACGGTCAGTTTTTGTCTTGATGCTACCTCGTGCTACCTGTTTATTTTATGTCATTTTTTCAGTCATCAGCTTTTTTTGAATAAAGCTCGCCTTTTGTTCCTTGACCTTTTTGTCTTTTTTATTCTGCATTTGGGTCCTACCTTTTCCCGAATCCTGACAAGTTCTACATTAAAGACAGAATAGTTACTGACTGACGTTTTTGAAATCTCAAATTAAGCTGAACATGGCATATCAAACATGGAGAAGACAAGCGCGACACCTGGCACTGACAATGATTTATGTCTCTGCATATTTTTGAAAGGGAAACCATTAAGAAAAAGTGAAGTAACTTTGCATTTGAATGTATTTGTTTTAGACTGGAAGTGCTCTACTTGTAACATTAACATAAATGCATGAAAGCACATCTACAGCTAATATATTCAATTATAATCATACAAATACCTTTATTCCAAAATATGACTTGGAACAAGGCAGGTCCAGAGATAGATGAGTGTCCAGACTTTCATACGTTTATCAAATGGTAAATTATGTGAAAGCATTGCCTATATCAGTCTTCCTGTTAGCAGAGCTACAGGTTTAGGAGTATCTGGTACAGTCTTGGGCAAATCTTCTGCTTGTGACTGGGACAAATGTAAATATAATAAAGTAACTCTCCAATAAAGGAACATTTAATTATGAATCTAATGTTTTACATTTAATGGCTAATGATGACCAGTGTTGGGTGTAACGCGTTACAAAAGTAACGGAGTTACATTAATTACTTTTTGCTGTACCAAAGTGATGTAACGCATTACTAATGACATTTGGGTAATATACTACCCGTTACAATTCTCAGTAACGCGGTTACAACACATTTTAACCCAAAATTAAATGATGTTTTGTTTTTTTAAGAATTCATCAACATCGCAAGACATTCCGACACCAGAGAAAATGTTTGGGTAGATTACTAAACCTGGTGTTTACCTAATCAGTCATTATGGGGAAAATAGCCCCCGACAGGCTGATCTTGATGAGCATGAAGGGTGTTCTTTTCCCCATAATGACCAAGCCGCTGCACATTATCTCGTTATTACACGGCCAGATACTAAGCAAACTAACGACTCGACTCCCAATATTAATTGAAATGACTTTATTGACTTAAAATTATCATATTTCTTCCACTAAGAAAGACAAAACTCAGTTCCACGGCGCACCAACGACTGGAACTGCGACAACAACAACTTTACGGCAGCACTGGCCAACTCTGTTAACAGTTTCTGATCCACTAACAAGTCCTTAAACACTGCAGAACCCACATCGTGTGCTTGTTAGTGTTTACTTCCTGTCTGCCTTCTTCTGATGATTTATCTGACGTCCAGCGCTCCATTTTTTAACCTCTTTTCCTTTCTCTTTCTTGATCCTCTTTAGCAACGGCCATTATAGTCCCTGACAGAGGTCTGTACTACTGTATTAACAATACGTGTCACGTGTTCTGAATCAGAATCGAGTATTCAACTAAGCCGTGTAATAAAAGTTGTTAGTAGTTTAAGGGCCTACACAGTTGCTGCACTAAACTACATTTTAGCATTTAAAATACCTAGCCTTTATTTTGCTGTTATTTTGGTGATAGTAACTCAAAGGTAATATAAAAGAAGTGTAACTCATTACATTTCAGAGACAGTAATATTGTAATGTAACTTATTACTTGAAAAATACAGTAATAGGCTAAGTAATATGTACTGTATTACATTTTGGAAGTAACTTGCCCAACACTGATGATGACATTAATAGATCATATTCTGTCTCCCAAATAAAATAAAAACGAATTGTGTGGAAAACGATTTATATTGTGTGGTAAGTTGGCTTGCTGTTTAACAATGCATATATGAGAATTTAGGTATAATCGATCTAATAAGGGGAAGTTATTTCCATTCACTGACGCAGGACTCAAAACTGTACAGCGTACACTTTAAAAAAAATGGCGTCTTTCTTCTCATTAAACATAAAATCTAAAACCCTTCTCTGCCATGATGAGTGTAAAAGATGACAGAGACAAGGATCCCAGCTGCAATGACAATGTGTTCACTGAGCTGCTACACTTACCACTTACAGCTGATCCCACAAGGATCATACTCTCTAATAGATTCACAAATTCTCCAGGAGATTCAGCAGCTCCCCTCTTGTCTTTCTCTCCTTTGTGTGCATGATGTCCTTGTCTCTCTCCCTCTGTGTGAATGGAATGCTTGATTTTGTCTCTAGTGTGTTTTTTGAGATCTGTCGTCTTCCAGGTCTCAGTGGTGGAGAGGAGGTTGTGAGGTTTGGGTCCTATCAGTCTGGCAGCAATTCCCCAGATCCGAATGTGTAATTTATGATTAAAATCTATATATTGTCATGCTGATTTCACATATTGTCATTACTTTCTGATTCGGAGATCCCACCTTAATTTCTTCACAAGATTTCTTCCATTTCCTTCCTGCGAAAGAGTTTTACGTAATGAATTGAAGGTCTAAAGACAGAGGGTGTTCAATGCTGTACATATTTTTGGTATCAGGCTATTTAAATAAGACTGACTTTATCAATAATTTATAATAATAATTAAAGGGGTCTGAAAGAAAGCCCAGAAAAGTTTTCTAGAAGACAGGAAAATGGGATCTTTCCATTGGATTTTGGAATATTGCAAAAAAGATTACATTACATTGCATTTAGCTGACGCTTTTATCCAAAGCGACTTACAATAAGTGCGTTCGACCAACAAGATACAACCTTGAGGAAAACAGAATCATATAAGTACATCAGGTTTCATAGAGCCAAACATTTCAAGTGCTACTCAACTGGCTTTAGATAAGCCAGTCCTTTATTAGTATATAAGTGCTTTGTTAGTAATTCTATCGCTCGAAGTGGAGTCGAAAGAGATGAGTTTTCAGTCTGCGCCGGAAGATGTGCAAGCTATCTGCTGTCCTGATGTCAATGGGGAGCTCATTCCACCATTTTGGAGCCAGGATAGCAAACCAAAATATACTTGATAACAAACATTTATGTTACCAACACGTTGTTCAGAAGGATAATCTTCACAAATTAACACAATGTGTGATCATTTAAATCATTTTTCATTAACGCATTCATTAATTTACGCCGACAATTATTTTATCGCACATTAACAGTTTTTCTTCATTAATATTATTATTTTGAAAGTGCGTTGCTCACTGGCTCTGAATACACATACAGACATGACAGGTCACAGGAGGGGTTGGATGATCAGTATTGGTTTAGGATGGGCGTCATCACGCATCTCAACCAATGAGAGCATTTAGGGCATGAACATAAGTGGCAAATAGCTTTTGTTTTATATTTGATTTGACTACATTAATTAAGGTTGAAGTTGAGATTTACAATCGCGATTAATCGCAGAAAAATCATGCGATTAATCCTTATTACAAATTGTAATCGTTGCCCAGCACCTTTTAAAAGTTACATTTAATAACCAGAAGTCAAAAGCTAATGTAATGATATACTGTACATTCTGTGTAGTGTTTCAACTTTGCGTGAAGTATGGTCCACCATTTGTCTATTTCACCTGCCTTACCCATGCAGTTAAATAAAATGAATGATCTCTACACAGCAGTATTGTCAGTCTGAAAAACAAGCTTTGATAAATAACTGTATAATTATTCTGAGGATACATAGAGACAGTATTTACCTTGTACTTGGCACTGCTGACCACGAGGCTGCCCTCTCGCAGCCAGCCCACTGAGGGTTTGGGGTTGCCAAAGGCTGTGCAGGTCAAAGTGATGCTCCCCCCCTCCTTGGCCTCTACATACTGAGGTGGTGTATCTGTGAACGTGGGGGGGGCTGAGGAAGAGAAAAATAATAATTCAAAAGGATGAATCAACGGTAGAACAATGAAAAACAGTAAACAGTTTTCTGTAGACATGTGTTGACCCAATATGAAATGTTGTGTAATGTTAGCAGCAAAAAACACACTTACGACAAAACAATGCACTTGAGTACAGAGAATATTATGTAGCGTATTTTTGGCAAGAAGATTCGGACAGTCATTCTCTTTTTTCCCAAAATATTTCAAATATGTTCTGAAAGGTTAGGGGTGTTTAGTAAGTAAATTATTTGTGGTTGGGCAAATATAACAGATTATACACCTGTTCAGCTGACTCAGTCTTGATATACAGTATGTTATGGTATTCTACTTCAACCATACATCAGTGAGTGATCCAATCTGTAAGCAGTATATATTGCTTTACTAACGTCCATAATATAATAGTTATATGTTACACATACTAGTAAATGATGGTTGACAGGTGGTGTGGGGTCCCTTAAGCTTAACAATACATATACTTGAAAACATTTCTAAATGTCTTACAAATGAGACTATAAATAAGTGGATTTGAATAATAATGCAAAAAAAGTCCTCAACGTTTAAAACCTCTTTTATACTCATAGAACACCACATAACATTACATAATATTTTCTTTTAAAATAAAGTATATGTGCATGACCAATGAGAAGCTGATGTTAGACTATAAGATATGGAAATATAAGATCTAATATAAGAGGAAGTGAAGGAAAATGGTCATCTGTCATAATTATTGGTTCTTGATAAGTTTAAAACCCTTCTGAAAATAGTGGGGGGTCTTTCATCACTTGTCTCCTGATTGCATTTAGTATATCTGTTCTTGAGCAGGTGACAAATAATTGCAAATACATTATATTTGATACCATCAAACAGTACACTTGGAGCTAAACTGTTAAACTGTTTTCTTGGTAATTTCTTAACACAATGATCATGGATTTAGCATGGATGTTCCCCACTTGAATTGTGCATGTTTTCACATATGTACTATATTTCCTTATTCTAACCCCCCCCCAAAAAAAATATCACTCGAAAAAGACATTTCAAATGTTTTAGTTATGTAAAAGCATTATAATGATGATATTTTTTTCTAGGCGACATCAAAGTCTTTAAAGGTATGTTTTAACTGGGTACGAAATCATCTTATTCCTCCGTTTGAAGCCAAGTGTACATAATATCAGGAGACTGGCCAATTAAACAGGTTACCGACACACTGCTGAATAATGGGTAAGGTAAAGTGTAAACCTTGAGCTGGATTTGCTTATTATTTGGGCTGGTGGATTCAGGGTTAACAGAAGCCAAGGAGCAATGGATAGCTTGTCACATAACTCATGTTTATTCCTTAAAAGCTAAGGAATAAATAACTTTAACCTCTGGTGCTCTGAGTGCATAAGCACCATGCTCATGCATTTATATGCAACATGCAAACTCAGAAGCAGCTATTGAAAGGATTCATGTTCAAATCCATAATTGTTTGGAAGAATTCTGTGACAAAGGGAGCAGAAGGTCTGACATTTTCTCCAGCAGCAGCAATATTTTTTTTAATAAACAGGAGAGCTTTTTCTTGTCCTTCTCCTCAGAAAATATTTCTTTGAATGCAGAAATTAAACGTTTTTTTGACTGAACTGTTTTCCAAATGTCTCCATTTATAATTGGACCTGAATGTTTACATATACTGAGGGATATACATGCAGTATAGTGAAGACTGAGAACAAAAAAGGTCTTGATGTCTAATGACCCATGTAAACAATATACACTTTAATAATCATGCTGCATTTTGTAAAATCATTTTTCTAAATCCTCTTTACTTCAGAATCCTTCAACATCATGATGGATGGTCATACAGGACAGTTGGCACATCTTTCTAAAAAGACATCATTTTCTAATAAATACTTAATACTGATGTCTATAGCTACCCCATCTTCATTTAACCTTAACATTCCCAGTTCAATGCACACAGACGTCAATACCACTGTCAGTGATATCATGCAGATTTGTTGTCATAATTCCTGTTTTGATATCCTCTATCTAATCACCTTAGGACTGAAGCTGATCTGCTTACATGTGTAATCCTTCAGCTTCTCAATTGCTAGCATGTTTTTCTATCCGCATCCATAAACCGGGCCATAGTGCTCATTCCACATTAAATGCTTTGACACAGAGATGGTGAATATAAGCCCTCTGACCAAGCAGCTTCTGTGATACATTGACACATTATAAGATAGCACATCTCCTGGAATGGCTTTTCATGTGTCCATTAAAGCAGCCCTATTGTGCAGCAAATGACACCATGTGATTTCATCCCACAATTCCAAAGTTTTAATACTGGATGGCATCCTACCAGTGTACAACATCCCTTTAGTGCGCAATTAAAGAGGCTTAAAGAGGCCCTATTATGATTTTTGAGGTTTTACCTTCCCTGTAGTGTGTTATATAGGTTTTTGTGCATGTAAATGGTCTCCAAAGTCTAAAATCCCAGAGTTCCCTCCAGAGGGAGTTTCTCTCCCACACACTCCCTCCCCATGCCTGAAACGCCTCCATTGGACTCCTTTGTCACTTCCCTAACATGGTGACATCACAATGTAACACTCGCACTCCTATTGGCTAGCACTCCAACACATTGTACCTGTTGGCTAAGGGGCGGTACATCTCTAAGCAGTTGACCAATCACAACAGCTAACCAATCAGAGCAGACTGGGCTCTGGTTTCAGACAGAGGTTGAAAAGAGGTGCAGCACAGGCAGTGAGAAAAATGGAGTGGAGGCGGAGCTTGCCAGCTTTAAAGCTAGTGAAATAAGGGATCGCACTGCATTTGATGTTGTGTGAAGTGTGACAAAAATTGTTTATCATTTAAAATAATTATTCGTACAAACAGGACATATTTGTGGCCATGATTTTGTATCTCTTCCTGCTTATCCTGTTCTCCACTAGCACTCTGTCTGAGGATGATAAAGATTCACAATAATTCAGTATAGGTGTGAATTTGTAGAGGGAAATGCATCAGCACGATATACTGTAGCACTCCCGCCCACAATCTATATGCATCTCACGCGGAATCTATATGCATCGCTTACTTCTTCAATGCCACCGAGGCTGACAGCTAAAGTGCTCAGAGTAATCACCGACAACCACTGATGTTTGACTGTGATAGTGAGAGGTGGATTGCAAATGGAGCTCTATAAATAGCAATGCAGCAGGGATATGGAGCAGGGCGTGATCCTTAAAGATTTGTCACCGCAATTCTAAAAAATATTAGCATAAGGATGTACCGTTTATGTGGAATTATCTACTGTTCGTGACATCTCATATATTAACATTGAACCCAGTAAAAAGTAGGCATAAAGGATTTTTTACAGCTTCTTTCCGCTTGATTTTATACTTCATTGCAAATGGAACTCTTAAAGGTGGGGCAGGTCATTTTGGAGAAACCAGCTCGAGTGCGCTAGAATTTGAAAATACACAGCCGGAAAAAATCTGCCACTTCATTAAAAGTCCTAAAATCCCCACAATGCTTTGAACGAAGCATGGAACAGGCTAGCAAGTGTGCAGGTGTGCGTCATATGAGAGGCCCCGCCTTACATTTTGGAAATTGGTCTGTGTGCAAAGCATTGTGGGGATTTTAAGACCGCGGAGGGTACACTCGAAATTTCCCGCAACAAAGGATTCAGTCCTCGGTAGAATTCCTAGGATCCAGGACTTTGAAACAGTCCTTCGACGGGATTCGATGACGTATAGCATCTAGTGTTGCACGGTGTATCGATACTTGAAAGGTACCGCGATACCCTGCCGTTAAAAACGGTACGATTCCTCCATTTCATTAGTATCGGTACTTTAAGAATGACGGGGAAAAGTACTCCAGTGAGAAAGCGCCGTTTTAATAAGAGCCGTGTGTGTTCAGCGCTCTGCTTCCACTCCCTGCACTGCAGCCGTGCCTGCAGTCCCTCCCATCTCAAGCACGCTCTAAGTGCCTCCCCTCTCTCGTGCACGCGCTAGCTGCCAGAGCATGTGAGAAAATGAGAAGCATGGCTGCAAGTGGGAATGCAACTGCCGCTGCGCCTCGGCTTGTTGACAAAAAAGACGCCAGAAGCAAAATTTGGAAGTATTTGAGCTATATCTCTGACAGTGAGGGCAAGCCTACGGACACCACGAGGCCTGTCTGTAAGAAATGTTTTAGATTCCTGCAAACCAAGGGAGCCAACACATCAAACTTGGCTAAGCACCTCGCCAACCGGCATCCAGACAGGTTAGCGAATGTGATAGATAACATAATTACATCATGCTCAAGCCCATGCCCTCAAATCTAAGTCAAACCAGTGTAATTTATTTTGTGACAAACGAACGTTTTCGTAGTTTGCCGAGGCAATTAATGGCAATGATAACTGTCTAACATGGCTATCTTTTTAGCTAACTTACCAATGTGGTTATGGTTCTGGTGTGAAATATAAAGCACAATAATTACATTTAAGACTGTTTCCCTTTTTTTAAGAAAAGTATCGAAAAAGAATCGGAATCGCAATTCTTGACTTGGTATCGGTATCGAAACCAAAATGTTGGTATCGTGACAACACTAATAGCATCCTTGAAATAGTGGCTCTGGAGGAGCCTTCCTCGACATTGAGAAACACCTACTGACTCGGAAAAGACATGTCCTACCAAGGAAGCGTCATCGACATTGAGAAACACCCACCGTCTCTCCTGCACAATCTCATCAGATCCAAATATGGTCATTTCCTTTGTATCAGCAACCAATGGTGAAATTACAAAGGGGTCTTAAACCAAAAAAACAAATCTCATTGGCTGGGGTAAATTTCTGACAACGTGATTCGTTCAGATGCATCACGTGGTGTGCTAAAACACTTCCTGGTTTAGCTTTCCGCTGGAAATGTAAATCTCAAAATAGCAAAAGAACAGCGGAAAAAACTTTCACAGAGAAGACGACAACAATTGTCACTTGCACGAAGCAAGGTTATACAAAAAATAAATGACACCGAACATGAAATACCTTCATGGAGTGCGTTGAGGCGCAAGCTGTCATCCAAAGAAAAGGAGGGTTTAGGTAGCGCCACACAGCAATCTTTAAAGGTATTTTTCTCAAAATGAGTTTTTTCTCCTATTCTGAGTGAGAAATGTCCACTTCAGTAGCACATACATACCAAACCTTCCAGTTATATTCCTATCAATATTCTGAAGGTTTTTTACTGAAGGGTTTGTTCATATATCATTTATAGCCTGAATTATATAACATTTTATACCTAAAAACATGGCGAAAACCTTTAGATTCTAATATGACTACAAAATTAAACAAGAATTTTGAACCTGACTTTATCCAATGTTCAGTAGGGGTGTAACGGTTCACAGAAGTCACGGTTCGGTTCGTACCTCGGTTTGGGGGTCACGGTTCGGTACGGTTCGGTCCAACAAGAAAAAGCAAAAAAAAGTCCCAAATGCATAATTCCAGGTTTGTTGTTATTTATGTTTGAACAGTAGCAAGTTTCAGTTTAAAAATAAAGAACTCTGACATTTTGAATAATGAACTGTATTAAACAGTTAAAAACAAACCATACACAGTACACTCAGATGGCCATATTATCTATAATGGCTGATGTCAAACAAAAAGGTTTCATCAAGCTGTAAAACTAAAAAGAATGTCTTGAAAATAGTACATCATAAATAATAACAAAGTGTTTCAAGAGCGCAAAGTCGTTGAAAAACATATGCCAAAAGCTTCCGTTATTTATTTTGGTCTCTCGGCTCTCACGTCTCTTGGCTTCTAAAACAGCGGGGATCAGCTGCTGAACTGCTGCTGTCTTTTGCCGGGCTCCGGTGATTGGCAAATCTGGGTGATGCCTTCTGATATGATTTAGCATGTTTGGCGTGTGTTACCATTAGCATACCGCACCACTGTAGAACAACGCCGACACACCGTCCTCGTCCGATCCACCACTCGCACAATTAATCGTTGTTGTAGTCCACAGAGAACCCGAAATGTTCCCACACAGCTGATTTAAAAGAAGCAGGTGGGTTCTAGCTCCTGTGTGTTATCTGAAATCGCCATAGTAACTTTTCTTCTTCTTGTAGTTTGTTCGTTTTGTTGTTGTGTTTCTTCTTGTTCTTCATTTGTTGTTTAAGGGCGACTGGCAAACAGCTTTTAGGCGCAATACCGCCCCCTGGATTATACATAGTGTAGTGGATACTGCCCTGAATGACAGACTTTTTTCCCACTCGTAAAAAAAAGGCGTATTCGTCGTGTGACTGCGTGTGCCGAACCGTGACGTCTGAACCGTGACGGTACGGGACGAATACGGATACCGTTACACCCCTAATGTTCAGAATTGTGTTCCTGAAATGTATTAAAATATGCGCATATTTGATGAGATTATGGCTCATTTGCATATTTAAACATGTTATTTCATAAAACTTGTAATACAAAAAACAATTGTCTTAATGTAAGTAATTAACTGGAGAAATGTCTAGCTGATATCTTTAAGTTAAAAAAAGTTACCCTATTCACCTGTAGTGTCTCGCCTTAAATTCTTGCAAAATTAGGAATAAAAGCTAATCAAATCATGACTCCATAATAATCTAATCGTTCATGATTATATATCGGAATTGGCCAATGAGTTCAAATTCAGGCTCATGAAGTAACAATGCCCTTCAATGTACAGCCAGTTTGAAGGGGGGGGGGACTGACCTCTCATACAGAAAAAATCCAGTGAGTCTCAAGGAAGCTTTATATAGCACATTCGATACTATTCATATTATTTTTTAAATAAGCCTATTTTGTAACTAACGGCGTAGAACCTTTTTTGCCTATGGGCTATATGTCCTCTTTGACCATTTACAGGCACACAAACCTAAATAACACACGACAGGAAAGGGAAAAACCCAAAAAGCATAATAGGGCCCCTTTAAACCAAGGTAGCTTTTGGTTATATTGGTATAATGTATGCATCTTTTCATGTTGACCCCACATACTGTACAGTACTGGATATTTCCTTCATATAACTTTTCTTCTTAGTGAATGACTAGACACAAACACAATGGTGTATTTAATGTCTAGACTAGCTGCTCAATTAAACACGTTTGCAAGTGATTACAGTAAGAGGTACAGTACATCCTGTTTTTGCAGTGGAATCATGTTTCAAAACTAGACTCATAATGTGAGCCTGCACGTAATAACTAGTTGATTCTATTCATAAATTCATTGATATGTTTTTATGGTGCGCCATTTCCAAATAAGTCCATTCAAATGATAGTTTAATCAGAGTCAATGTAAAAAGAAATAATTCTTAACAAGGATTATCACAGTATTGTAGAATGAGTAAGTGAGCTGTGTTTTGTACAACAGCACTGACAGTCTGACTTACTACAGCTGATAAAAGTGCTGTGGCTTATGTCTGCCGTGTCAACACAACATTAAAGGACAGCCGAAGAGTGACGGACAGAAACAGAGAAGAGGCAGAGGAGGATGCCGGAGGCCTATAAACACTTCTGGGAGAGAGGGAAGAGGCAAGGCCAAGTAAACACAACACTGATGAAACTGAGCTAATGTGCCGTGACCACATGGGGGGGGGGGTTTAAAGGACCCTATCTGGTGTATCTGTTACCACAGCAACTGGAGTCATCATATGCTGTCTGATTTGTCTCGATGAATGCTTGAGCTACCAAGTGAAGGAAACATATTCAGAGTTTCTGTGACTGAGTCCCGTGAGTGTTGACACAAGTGTGTGTGTTACTTGTCTGTACTCGGGTGTTTGTCTGGGGTTCCTCTCCTGAGACCATTTCAGAAAATGATTCAGGAAATGTAACTGGGACAACTTTATCAACCTTCTAGTCATGACACAGCCACCATGAAGCCAGTGAGACACCACAAACAATGAGCGATAATCAGTGTCAACAACACTTTGGACTTCTCACTATGGGGACTTAACCTTTGACCTTGTGGTATCCTTATCTCGGCTGGACTTGAACAACAGCTGTTGTGTATCATGGTCTGCATCTCAATCCCTAGTTAAGATATTAAGATAATTATACTAATAGCAGAACACATTATAAGTAAATTGTGTTAGAATGTTAAAATCTGAAGAAGGCCTCTTTACCAAGCTCCGAACTAAGTTGAATATCTCAAAAAGTGTAAAAGATATCAAAAGTCTGAAGAATATGTTTTATAGCTGAAGGTCTTGTGACCGTTTTAAAGTTGTAATGAAGTCTCTAGCTGAAGTATGTGGAAGGAGAAGCATTTGGAGCACGGTGTAGTTAAAAGAGGATTTGAAGGTTCCTCCCATTGAGTTACATGTTAAAAAAAGAGTTTAAAAAGCTGAATATTTCAAAAATTATAACATATTTTCAAAAGTTGAAAGTGTCCCGTGATGTGCTGAAAAGGCTGAACATTTTGATATTTGAATGGTTTCTGTAGCTGAAAGTAGGCTGAAGTTATTCGACGGCAAAATATTGGATGAAATAATAATAATAATAAGAAGAAGATGATTAAAGATTTGAAGAACTATAGTGGAAGGCTGTTGCACAGCATTCACACTAATAAACCAGTGACTGTATTCGCCATGACACAGACAGTCTGTGGTTTGTACTTGTTTAACTTTTGTCCAGTTTCTGAACAGATATGAGGAGCTGTGAGCTCTGTGAGCTCTGTGAGCTCTGTGAGCTCTGCGTGCTAACAGCTAACGGCTGATGTTTTGGTTTTCTGATTCAACGTCAGTGACGGCAGGCTGAGATCCTCACCGCTGATTGGCTACCTCGAGATCGCGTAAAAATGTAACTCGAGCGGTTCTATCACATCAATCGCACCCCGGCATTCGGATCAACCGCTTCATGCGCGCCGTCGGAGCGAATGTGCGTCTGTTAATGTCTCTGCATTGACGTTACATGCAATCGCGCCGCCCCCAAAAATCGCATCGTGTCCGGTGTGAACGCACCATTAGAGATGTCCTGCCCCTTAGCTTATCACCTAGAATGTGTTGGAGCCCTATCCAATAGAAGTGTCAGTGTTACATAGTGATGTCATTACAGGAGCAGTGATCTGCAGGTACCAGTTCTTTCAGATGCTTTTGCTCAAAACCTTTCGGTTCAGATAAGAAGTCCTTCAATTTGGTAAATACACATTTCAATGACTAAGGTTACTGTCTTCTAGCTCTGTGATTGTTTGGTTTTAAACGTACTGCATACTGCAAAAATCCATTAATCTCACACACACACACACACACACACACACACACACACACACACACACACACACACACACACACACACACACACACACACACACACACACACACACACACACACACACACACACACACACACACACACACACCACACACACACACACACACACACACACACACACACACACACACACACACACACACACACACACACACACACACACACACACACACACACACACACACACACACACACACACACACACACAGACAGACACACACACACACATTGCCAAGACAAAACATGATTTTCACAACAAATATAAAATGTCATCATTACAGATTCCAACAGGCTTATTTTAAGTGTTACAGTAGTTCATCTAAATGTGTCTAATTTCAAGTCTGTGTGTGTTACAAATGGTATTTTTAAAGACTGACCTATTCATTTCCAGTTGCCTGTTATACTGTATGCATGTTGGCATTGATTAAACAAGGCCTTTCAAATGTCTGGAGCCCATCTTAACACCACTGCTACAAATGATAATAAATGTCATCTTCAATATACTTGTACAACAAAAAAATTATACAAAAGTCCACATACAGACATAAAGTAATATCTGTATCACCAGCACCATCTGTTTGATTTGAACAGTATGATTAAAGCATGCTAACGGCACTTACCGTTGACGGTCAGATGCACCCAGCTGCCATTGTGGAAGGTGTCGTACTGCTGCTCCAGCATCAGCACCTTACACTCATACCAGCCCTGGTCGTCTGAGCGCACGTTCTCTATCCGCAGGGAGGACTTGTCGTGCAGACTGGCCCGGCCTGGGGGGGGGAGAAGGAGATGATGTGTCAGCAGAAAGGGACACACAGAGGTGAGTGGGATGGGTGGATAGAATTAAATGAGGAAGGAACAGGTGAGAGGACAAGAAATAAAGAGGAGAGAAACACCAGATGAATGTCAAAAAGGTGATCAACCTTCGGATGCATTAGATATTAATAGCATTAATATTACCTTGAACCAGCCCCTCTTTATGTTGCTATAGGCTTAGACTGTTTGTATGTCCAATAGACTAACTCAGCATCCGGGGCGTAATTCTCCAGAGTTTGTGTGTCTCTCACCTGGCAGGTTGCCAGTATTAAAGGTTACCTTTGTGTCATGAGTTGTGGTCCTGCCTGATGCTCATGTTATTTATATATTTTTCAACCTGGATCCATCCCTTCTTTAAACGTTCACATGATGATTTTGGTCATTTGGATTGTCTATCTTGTCATTTTATTATCAATTTCATTTATGGACATGACATCTATTGCTAGTTTTTCTCAGTCCTGGGCAAGATTTTTTATTATAGGGTTTCTTTGGGAGTTGTTCCTAGTCTGTTTCAAGGGTCTGAGAAGAGAGGTTGTTGTATGCTGCTAACAATGTGAAGCCCTCTGTGAATTATTTGTTTGTAATTTGTGATATTGGGCTATATAAATAAAATGTTATCCATTGATTGATTGCTCAACACACTCACTGCTGCACTGTTAACATTCAACCACTTCCTGCAGTGGTAAATATGATGTGAAATGTGTCACGTAAACCTTAGTGTGGCTGAGATGTCCTTATCTCTATGTGTGTGCCAGTCTATTTTGGAGACGCTCTCAGGCAAGGACAGGTCATTACTTCCTTTGAGGAGTGGGAAGATTCCAACATGACGACAGAGAACCCTCAGCTATAGACAGGCTTTGCAATCCATCAGAACAGATATCGGTTTTTGATTTGCTGTACAGAGTCAGGAATAGCTGCATTTGACTTTTACAGATCAAAAGCTGAGAGGGGGATTGATGATGTTCCTCCGGGCAATCTGGCAACTGAATCATAACAGATGGCGACTGGCAATACAGGCTAAACAAAGGGCTTTAAGGAGGCACATGCCAGCTCAAAACGTCAGCATTATCAAAGCCTTGCGATCCCTCATTAATCTCCTCACCCCCCCCTCCCCTTTTCTATACTTTGTGGGTATTCCTTACTCATTCTCTGTGGCTTTCATTAAACCACTCTGCAGTATCACAGACCAGGGAAATATATCAGGCGCACTGAGGTAAGGTACAGAGTTATAGGGATGTTTGTTCACTATAGCCTTTGTTTTTAGGCATATTTGTGTATATATATATTTTTCCCGTTACAACCATGTCTATGAAAAGAATAGAGAAAGAGACTATGTTCATTATTAATGGTGAAATATACATTTATTTTATTGCATTATGTCTACTGTACTATCCACTATGTACTACAGTACTGTATGTGCTGTCGTTTATATTTTGATCAGGGTATTTCTTTTAGATTTCGCAGGAATAGTATTATACTGTGTCACTATATTACAAAATGTACAAAAGGCAAACTAAGTATATTTATATAGCACCTTTAAACACAAGCCAATTCAAAGTGCTTCAAAGGGATATACTTAAACATGACATCCTTTTTACTTGATTTGCAAATGTCTTAAGGAAATAAAAGGTATTAAATTAAACAAATGTGTTTATTGGTCCTAAATGTTATGTTCTCAGAGTTAACAGCCATGCTGCTGTTTTTAGGTGTAGTTGAACTGTATAGCTGGGAAGCCTGAATCGATGCAATAAAGAACAAGTTATTGGGGTCTACTTTAATATTATTAGCACAAAATAGAAAACAATTTATGAGATATTTTATATAGGACAACATTGGTGACTAACTGACGGTAAACAAACATTCTTAAAATTATAATTTGAATCCAAGCTCAATTCACAGTAGGAATATATATCCTGAACTGTGTCAATATAACAATGAAATAAGTGAGAGAAGAACCTAGGGGTAGCAAAGCAGCAGTCAGCATGACTTTGTTTCATTGAAGTAATTGAGACACAAGTCCAGCTGTTCCTCCAATGGTTTTCTGTTCAGTCAGTCTTTACGTCTTGTTTCTTCTATCAGTCTCCTGCAGCCGACACACGGCAGTCTGCCACAGAGCAACACTCCTCCTGATTGGCATTCACTGTGATAACACAGGAGGACTGCCTGAGGTGCTCCAGGTGCTGTGGGTTGACTGTTCACGGCTACAGTGTTAATCAAAGGAGATGTTATTGAAATGTCATTGAATCTTAAAAAAACACGATTTCATTTTAATATTTGTTTCCAGAGATGTGAGCTATGCCATTGATGCAGACTGGATAGGTTTAGATTTGAACACAAAGGTTACATGGTATCAGGCTGGTGTATCCACTAAATGTTGTTGGGAATGTACAGTGTCATACCAAGGCCATATGGTCAATCTTAAATAGTTTGTTTAAAATGTAATTAGGTTTTACCAGTCTTGGGAATAAATTGTAGGCTACATAGAAAGGAATACTAGGAGGAACGCCCATCCTGCTTTTATCAATTTAAATTGTTTTCAATCAGAATCCCATTGAATTGGACCACCTCCGGAAAAAGTGCTGCACCGTTTTTTACTGAGCAATCCACCAATCTTGTGCAGCCACAAGGTGATATTATTTCAACTTTTCAGAAAAGCGCTAGTGATTTTGCCCATATCTTTAGACAGAATTGATCATAACAAAGACCAAAAAGCCAAATCGGCGCCCGAACGGATCGGGACCCTGTTGATAAGTATTTACCCTTCGCTCTACAGCTGTCAAACTGAGCACTGACAAGCTTATTATCCCAGATTGTGAGAGCAAGTATTGTAATGGTGAAAACACAAGATCAAACATATACATATACAGATAATAAAATCCCAGGGGGCTATGCTGCCCAGCGCCCTGCCAGGACCTTTCTGATAGCAGAAGCTGCTTCGTGGACACAGGGCCTTAATTAGCTTCGGAATTTAAATCGAGACACCCCTACAACATACTGCACCTTGCATTTATTCTCATACGTGTACTTAATATTTAGCTGTCCTTTATAAGTATGAATCCAACCAAGCATATTGTTTTAGTTTTATAAAACGATCAGATTTCAACTAAGCGAGATTTCAATGTAAGCTGCATGAATTTAGAAGAAAAATGCCACTATTCTTCTGGACCTAGCACATAGTACTTCCACAATAATAAGGGACATTCAAAAATGTAATCTGGGACCACTGCTGTTTTTTATTTGTTCTCTATGCCTCCATTTCTGAATTCATCTTCATGTTGTTTTGCTCTCTTCCTGTCTGGCTATCAATTGATATCCATCTCTTCCTGTCCAATCTCATTGAATAGTTCTATACTTTTCTGCCTCGCTTACTCGGATGTTTTCTACCTCTTCCTCTGAAGAAAAAAAAAAATAGGACAATGGCTTGTTTGAGACGAAGGGCAGACGGGTGTAGGAAACAGTGACCCTGTGGTAGGATCGACTCATTAACCCTCGACATCATCATAAGTCTAAAGAGGGCACAATGTGAGCTGCTGTGTCTCTCAGAAGCTTCCAATGTGACCTGTGACTTCATTCCATGATGCAACATCAGAGTCACACTGCACACAGCGGGAGGTCGCTGTTCGTCTGAACGCAGATATAACTTCAGATGTTCCTCTGCTGCATTCTGAAACAAGATGAATCGTCACTTTGCTTAAGGCTTAAGCTAGTGATGTGTCTCTAAGGATTGAAGACACAGCAAGATGAATTTTAAAACAGCACACCAAGCAGAAGTTGTCCACATAGTCTCTCAAAACCAGTCAAATGTATGTCATTGATATCTATGAACTGCTGTCTTTAACATGAATCCAATCCAGCTGATTGACAACAGTCTGAACAGTTTTGTTCTTCATTATTTTCAGAAGCTGGACAATTTAAAAAAAAGTATCATCTTTGTGATCATGATATTGAAACCATGGTATTAAGTGAAGAATGGAAATGCAGTTTTACTCTTACAGATAATCCAGATTTGGGGAAATTGGGAGCATGATAAAAGCTATTTGATCATGGTAATAACAGAAAGGGGGGATTATTTCAAAAATGCAATGATCAGAGGAAAGTTAAATAGAAAAGCAGGAAAGGGCATAATCCCTCTCGCATCCCCAGCAAACATCACAAAGATAATCTGAGGGGGAAAGAGCTGCTGCCTCCAAAGGAAATGTCATCTTAATAAAGCTGTCTACAGTTAGTTAGTAAATGCATTACAGTCTACACTGAACACCACTGATCAAACAAAGCTCTATCAAGAATGTGGTGGTTTAATGTCTAAACTACTACATAGAGAAAGAAGAAATAGGAACTGCAAAAGTGATCCAATGTGATCCATGAATACAGATGTATGAATATCATGTTTTAAGCATTTTCATTCGTTGCTATGGTGGCCCTGAAGGACAAATCACAACAGCATTTCAGAAAACAAGAAATTGCAGAAGAAACAAAAGCATAGGAGAAAATATACTATAATATAATATAATATATATATATATATATATATATATATATATATATATATATATATATGACATTCAAAATGTGAACGGTACTGTAGGTATTGGACAATAAATGGTGTGTCAGTCAGTCCAAACAAACAGAAATGCTACTTTTGAGCACAGACCAGCCCACACTTCCATGAACAGGAACACACAAAGAGCCCAACAGACACACTACAAAGATCAAGCAAGTGCCTAACAAATTTGGCAAAAAATGCCATGAAGTCCTAAAAAACAGAAATGACATCACATTTTACCACTTTCGGTTCCCACGTCCAAAATCAAGGTTTTTTGTACGTGTTTGTGGTAAAAAGCCTAAAATAAAGTCTGTGGTTAACACAAGCTGAAGAGATGTTCTTGTTTTGTTGGAGGACATAAAATATGTCAGTAAAAACCCCCTAGTGAATGTCTGAAGCTTCTTTGTGTCATAACAACGGCGATGGCTAGTGTTGTAGTACTCAAGACCGGTCTTGGTCCACTTTTTAACGGTCTTGATCTTGTCTCGGTCCTATAGGTCTCGAGATTTTATGTCAAGACCGGTCGAGACCGTTCTTATTATACATCCATGATCGAGACCACAGCTGTTGTAAAATGCCCTGTTTAAAAAATTCAACCAATAACGTGACTTCACGTGACTCTGAATCTTTGCCCTCATGCGCCGCAATGTTTGTAAACACGGCACTGGTCTATACCGGCTGCTGCCCCCTCATCTCTCCCCGTTCACACACACACTCAAACGCTCTTGCAGTGAAGATGTTTGCGAAATTCATCAATCATTAAATGTGGCTACACAAGCTACACAAATTGGCATGTGTGTGTGTGTGTATGTTAATCGTGTAGTGTTGGATTCACAGTAGTCTGGTTACGGTCTTGATTCGGTCTTGCCCTGCCTTGGTCTTGGTCTTGACTCGATCTCGACCTCTTAAAGTCTTGGTCTTGTCTTGCTACTCTCCGGTCTCTGTAATGTCTTGGGTCTCGGATAAGGTGGTCTCGACTACAACACCAGCGATGGCTGACAAGTGTCTAAAAAAATGACTAAACGTCATCACGCCGAATGTTTCAGCTTAGCGGTGAAGTGAGGTGAAGTCATGCAACTATGATGTAGTTGTATAGCCTAACATTAGCTTTTGACTTCTGGCTATTGCATTTACGCTTAAAAAAATCACAACGTTTTGATCACGTGTCAGAATAATTCTTCTGAACAAAACCGGTAAGTATCATAAACGTGTGTTTGCCACAGAGCTTATTTTCTGCAATATACCAAAATCCAATAGGGAAATCCAATAGCTTTTTGTAGAGAGAGCCCTTGATGCTATAACTGTAGTGACGTACTTCCAATATGTCATCATTGCTGATTGATGATTGATGATTAATATGAAAGCAGATCTTGGTTGGAGATATCAGCTGTAGTAATGAGGGTCACTATTTCCAATGTACTGATGGTGAGGGGAGTAACATGCTAATAGCCTAGTTCCTGAATATGACGCACTCACTGGATATCAGCCAGCCAACACAGAGGAAGACTCACAGTCCCTTTAACTCAAACCGTCTGATGCTTTGAGTACAAACTGCCAAAAAACACAGCTCTAAACTGCAGCTTGTCCTGTGGTGAATAGACTTGACACGGTACTCTGTGTTAGGCAGTGTTTGGTTAAACACTGATTAACCTACCAGCCCACTGCCTCCGCCCACATAACGCCTTCTAATGTATAAGATTTAAACCTATTACGTTAATTTTGCATATCAGTGACTGCTTTCATTTAATAAGAAAACTACGTTTTTTAAATATTAAGGAACAAGCAAAAAAATACTAAGAAAGCGGATTCTACAATTATAAAGTTAAAGACTGTGCCGACATGGGTTGCCGTTTAAAAGCCAAAGAATCAGGTTTTCTCCTCACCACTATTCCTTAAAGGTCACATGACATTTCTACTGATCATAATTCCATTGTTGAGGTCTACTAGAATAGTTTACATTGTTCAATGTTCCAAACTCACATTGGTTTCTCAAACAGCATCTCTGTATAGTATGTGTATTCACTCTCTGTCCTACACGCCTTGTTGGAGCTCCTGCCCCCGCCCCCCCCCCCCTATGAGCCCAGTGTGCTCTGATTGGTCAGCTCGCCCACTCTGTTCTGATGAGTCCACCACCCTTACAGCGGAACATCAGTGATTTTGTGTTACAATGGCGTTAGCAACCAGAAAATGACACCAGTAATCAATGACAAACAGATGAGAATGCTGCGTGGGGTCTGGGTGCCGTGTTGGCGGGACGTTGCGCGGCTCGCTGCTGTGAGGAGCGGACAGTGTGAGCTATATTACTGGTGTCGTTTCCTGGTTGCTGCGTGGGGTCTGCGAGACAGCGAGACAGCGCGGAACTTAGCCTGAACTCAGCCTGAGTTTGGCGAAATCAGCGGAGCAGCGGCTGAGAAAAGATAATGGATGGGTCCATTTGGACCTGGGTATGGTCACGTCGCGCTCTGGGGCAGCATAGACAGGTATTTTCTGTGTTAGAGTTTTACTCGCTACAGGGTGTACTTTGAGGGTTTGAGACTCTGCAGACCGTTTACAGAAAAAGCTACATAACACACAAGGGGACGGTAAGAACCAGAAAAGCATGACATGAGACCTTTAACCTGAGTTAAAAACGTTATGGGGTTGAGATAGGTTTGTAGGAGAATTGATCAGGAATCAAGATAAAAACTGTGGTGTGGTGAATCTGATTCCACTTACACTGAGCAACGTATTGAGGATGCACCAGCAGTTATTGATATAAATATGGACTACTAAAAGCAATGAGTGCAATATATGGATACATCTGTTAGGCCTACACACAATGTTGAACCATCACCCAAATCTGACTTTATCAGATCTTTCTACAGTTATTAGAGTAACTTTCATAGTTTGCCTTTTAGTTTAAGTTTTGAAAGTTTTAAAACATGTAAGCACTTTGGCAAGATATGGCACAAGATGGAAAATGCTGAATAATTGACATATCTGTATTTCTCGGTCATGATCGGTTGTTTCTGTGAACGGCCTAATGGAGTGTCACCTTAAATGTTCAATGTTTGGTTGTGGGACAGCAGTATCTCCAGTCTTTCCATGAAGGAATGTCAGATGTGAACTAACCTAAAGGAGTTTATAAAGGAACCATTTAAGCTCCTTCCTTTCATGTAGAGAATTCAAACAGCTGTTATCATGGCTGACAATTTGAAACTTCTGGGTCATTTGACTCCGTTAGGAACCTTTCTGAGAGAAAAATATTATACAAAGACTATTCAAACGCAAACTGTTTTAAAAAAACAACCCCAAAACTTAAGCCTAAGCTTTTGATGTTTACTAACAGAAAACATGATTTATATAGAGCTGTACAAATAGGCAGAGGACTGATGGATGTTTTACTTCACTCACCCTAGATGAGGAGGAGAAGCAGGAGAATGAGGGGGAACAATGAATTAGACATCAACCACATTCTTTGAAAACGTTAACAAAGACTTTGTTGCTCCGTCAAGTTCAAAAGCATAATTATATATGTAACCAGCACAAATCCACTATGAATTATGAACAAATATTCATGTATTACAGAAAAAAAGAGACTTGTGTTCTGTTGACACAATCAGCATTTAACAAGTAATTCATTAATAATTGCCACGAGGACACAGCGTTAATACTTAAAAAAAAATAAAGACATATTTAAAGATTCCCTCCGGGCAAAAAATATACAAATACAATACTTTGAATATTAAGTATGTATGATAATAACTAATAAATATCATTATTTCTAGGCATTCACACACAACCTCACAAACACTTTGCCTTTATGCAAATCATCAGTGCCATGGTGAAAACTGTGGCCTCCATAAGAAGGGGACATTTTTGAGGACTGACCAACAAAGTGAGCTATACTTAGCTGCTAGTCCCAGCTAAAAACAGAAGCTATGAATATGCTAATAAGTTCCTGTCTCCATTTCCCTGAAAAGGCCTTCATGTGCACTGTTACTCAGTGGTGTAAAGTAACTAAGTAATACTTTTGAGGTATTTTGAGTATTTCCATTTTTGGTTACTTTGTACTTTTACTTCACTACATTTATCTAGTACCTTTAGTTACTTGATGTGAAATATAATCAAGTGTTAAATCAGACTTTGGTTCCACCTGGAGTAGATTCACAAGCTACCCTGCAGTATACAAAGTCATTCAAACTATTGTAGCTGCACCTTTACCAGCTTTAATGATCAATCATTATAAAACATATCATATATATTATTCTGAAATGAACCAATCTGCACAATGACTACTTTTACTTTTGGTACTTAAGTATATTTCGATGCTAATACTTTTCTACTTTTACTTGAGTAACATTTTAAATCCAGGACTTTTACTGTAACAGAGTATTACTACAGTCTACTTACTTTTACTTATACCACCTCGGCAGTTACCACATCACACACTTGTAAATTGAATGCTGGACTACAATTAGATTCAAACATCCCTAAATCCTGCCGTTTGGTCAAGGAGATACAACTGAGTTTTCAGTTGAGCAAATCAATGTAAATAGAAACCTCTGCACATCCATCATTCAGCATAAACACCTCAGTGAAGTACCAACAAGCAAAACACATTATTATCTGGCGGGGCAGATTAAATTCCCTATGAAACAAAACTTTGGCTTCTGCCTGTGACGCAATGAAACGTAATATTTGAGCAGTGTACAATTGAGGAGGGATTTAAATCTGGTGCGCTTGTGGGGGGGCTTAATGCAGAGTTACAGAGGACAGTGACATACACACCTCCATTGTTGCTAAGAATTGCAGATTGATGGATGGATGGATGTCTTCTATCATTGGTTGAAATTGGTTGGTACTAGCTTACCTAAGCACATGTAATATTGTGTTTGCAAGAAAAAACAAGTTCTGCATATATAAAATAAGTTCACCGTAAAATGGAGGATATCTGAAAGGGTTGAAAAGTGATTTTTTAATTTCTTCTACAGTAGACTTCAAAGAGCTACAGATAGCAGCTAAATCACTGTCAAATAAGTGGCAGTGTTTTTTCATATCAAGCCACCGATTGCAGTTTTGATGCAACTGCCTTCACCATCTTACCGGCGTATTCCGGGTCCACATGAGGAGGGTAGAAGCGAAAGTTGATGAAGAAGGGGATGGGCATTCCATACTTGAACCATTCCACCACGTAGGGCTGGCCGTTCAGGGGGTGGGACACGTCGCATCCCAGGATGACGTTCTCTCCTGCACGTGACGTCACAAACTGGGGCTCCTCTCTCACTCCTTGGGCACCTGTGGGGGGAACAGCCACAGGTTAGCGTGGTCAACGAAGGGAAATCGAACCGTATCAAAATGACAAAAACGACCAATACTTTTAAGTATTTGATTAATGTATCATATTTTTACTACGGCCTGTAAACGCTAACGCGTTACCTCAAACTATTCACCTGGAAGGGTTATCGCAAATTAATCACATTACCAAGTGTGACCCCAACTTTCTCCGATAATTCCAGCCTGGATGTTTGTCATGAATTGCATGGCAGTGAAAAGACAAAGAAAGCATACAACCTGGTACAAGTGTAACGGCACACCTGATCCTTAACAAATGTTCTGCTCTAGTTCTTTAAGCGTAATGGAAACAGAGGAAAGGCATTTTGATCACATGATCCAGTTTCTAGAAGTTTTCAGGAGTGTGAGATAGCAGACAGGGACACCACTGTAGGAACTGAGGATGCTCGCAGTATGATAGCGGCAGAGATAATACTATATGTCCTGTGTAGCACACACCACACAGAAGGTGATCACTGCTCGGGTTTGTCGATGATTTAGCTACATTTGGGAAAATTGGCAGATTTCATGTAAATAATCCAGAAATTGTCGAAATGTATAATAGATGAAAGAATAAAGTAGAAAAACCCTCTGATTCCTCGGACCAGTTTCCGATGCATTTTCTATGTTAATAATAGTATTATAAACTTGTTAAATCATGATTAATCTCAGGTCATTATTGTGATTAACACCACCATTTTTGCTGATAAGCACGCATTGTCCAACAACAACACACACAGTAACAAATGCATGCTTTGTTTAAGTATAAGTAATACTTTGACACTATAAGACAATATGTGTATTCACTTTTAAGTATGATAACTTCTCATCTAACTCTCTTCCATTGGGGTGTTTAAAAAAATTCATCAGGTGCACTTGCCAGAATTCTAGCATTTCAGGCAGGGGGGTGTAAGCACATGTTCCCCTCAAGCTTCATTCTTGTTTGAGCCAGTGTTGACAGTCTATATCTCACTTCCTCAGGCTATCAAGACATCAGTCGATTGAAGGTAAACAAGGTAGGAGTGGTTAACAGATTCCATTAGTTTCAAGAGAAATGCCACCGTGCACACTAGATGGCTAAGATTACAAATAGCATGAGGGTGTTTGTAAAAGCATGAGATTAACGCAGGATGAGAGCGATAACACAAACATGTGCTCAGATACGTGTTCCATCACTCAGGACCAGTGACGGGTCCAATACAGAGCCAAGGACAAGGGGCTGGGGAGAGAAAGATTAACGGCACCTGCAGACACATGAATGGATTTATCTCCACATAGTCATCTAATTCGTCTGACAGAATGTGGGCAGACAAAAACATAAAATAGGAGTGTGACAGTAATGATGACCTGATGTCCAATAATAGTTGGACCTTTAACCTTTTTACAAAAAGGATTCACTCTGTTAGCTGAGTAGTGTGTCTGTGAAGCCACATCGATCCCAGGCTAATTACAATGTAGCCTGGCTTTATAAGTGGAAACCCGGCATGGTAGCATTTTAGCGATTGAGCTAATCACATGTACTCAATGCACGTCCCTCTGTGGCTGTAAGGAAGACAGGCAGCTAATTACTCCTGCACACAGATGATGGCCAGCATTTCCTCTAATTACTGAGAGTAAACAGTGTAAGGCATTGTGCACAAGAACCCAACAGGACTGTCTCTGTAACATCTGCAAATGAATTGGGCGTATTATTCGTAGTGTCAGTGTGGTATATTATGTAGCAAAGTATAGCATGAGTGGGTAAAAAAAAGGTCTTAGACTGACCAAAATAACTATAGCTAGAGGTGGGTAGAGACGACTAAGGTTTCTTTAAATTATTGGTTCCTGGTTCATTGCACTTACATATGTATATGTATTGTAAGTCGCTTAGGTTAAAAGCAGTGGTGTAGTGGTCGTTGGACGCGGGAGATCGCCGTCCCCCCACTTATTTGGAGCCCCCACTTTTTTTAAGCATGATTTTTTTTATTGTCTTATAAATATAAAATCATTGCCAGTGTTGCAAGTGTGTATTTGTTGTAATAATGACGAAAACATAATACATTTCACAGTAATTATAATAAAAACGTAGCTCAAGTATTTATGCAACTTGATTTGAAGCGTGTGTGTGTGTGTGTGTGTGTGTGTGTGTGTGTGTGTGTGTGGTGTGTTGGTGTGTGTGTGTGTTGTGTGTGTGTGTGTGAATGTGTGTGAATGTGTGTGTGAGGGGTGACCAGGTGTCCTACTTTGTGCGGGACTGCACACACAGCATTTTTATTATTTGTCCCGTGTCCCGCAAATTGAGACTATGTCCCGCATTTGAGTGACAGTCGCGCAGAAAAGCCGGCTCGGTTCGCTGACGGCCGGCACCGCTCTTTATTATTATATTTTTACGGCATCATGTAAGTTGCGCTGACAGGCGACAGAGGTCCACAGTGTACCCCCCCGTCCACCCAGTCCAAAAATCCCCACTACACCACTGGTTAAAAGCATCAGTAATGTAATGACCCTATTACCCTACTAGGCTGTTTCACGAGCAGAGGAAATACAATGCACAAGATAGAATATGTGTGAAATGCGAATACACCTTATCCACCAAATGCTGGTTACTAGCACTCTTATGTAACATGTATGGAGTATATTACATCATTGAGAGGCTGTGTATCAGAGGAAGCCTGTGAATTTGTGATCTGATGTTCATACTTGCTCTCATGCTTGACGACAGAACCAGATAATAACTGTGCTTTTCCCAGTGGTGAGCCCCCCCTCACTCCCACACCTCCTCACACACACACACATAGCTCAAGCCACGCTACGTGTTGATTGGCTGATGGTGACATCATGGCAGAAAAAACAGGCCCCTAGGAAGGTATGACTTCACTGTTTAAAACCGAGAGGGAGCTAGAGAGGAGAGGAGAGAAGAGAGGAGCAGCTGACCCCCCCCCCCCCCATCAGGGTTCAGCTCATTTACAATCAAAGACCCAGTGGAGCGCACCATCACAAGGTGTAACCACTGAGGTGCGCACACACACACACACACACACACACACACACACACACACACACAACACACACACACACACACACACACACACACACACACACACACCACACACACACACACACACACAGTCACACACACACACACACACACACACACACACCACACCACACACACACACCACACACCCACACACCACACACCAACACACCACACACACACACACACACACACACACACACACACACACACACACACAACACAACACACACACCACACACACACACCACACACACACTACACACACACACACACACACACCACACACCACACAGTCACCAGTACCAATTACCAAGAGTGTAAGCAAGGTGGAGAAGGAAAGGGAGGTGTTTGTTTTGCTGAGTATTTGTGATTTTTACCAGGAGGACTGTAACCACTTGGGTAATCATGCTTTGAAGCTGCCCATCAGCCTAACAAATGCTTTTGTGTTGCAATATTAGTTAAATCTGTGGGAGACTCCACAAGAGAGCAACATGTGCAAAGTTACATTTGTTTTTTTTAAGGGCTGGCATTGAGAACAATGTATAGGAAGATTTGTAGCCAATTTACAGATCCCCAGAGGTAGATTTCCATCCAAATGTAGTGCATATTTAACAGAATCACCAGAAAATGTGAATTTTCTTTTGATGATTTATTCCAAAATTGCAAGTCAAACCTCGAACAAACAAAAAACATGTAGAAAATATTTAGAAAAATGTGTATTTATGATGGATTCATGCATTTGAGTGAAGCTACATTTCCTATCAGCCCACTTTTTTCATGCACTCTGCTGCTGATAGGGAATTATTCATATGACCCTTAGTTTGACTTTTAAGCATTTTAGCTTTCACCTCTCCTCTCACTCTCTCTTTGGCAGGCAAAGGGCCTGGAGAGAGCTGTTACTACCAGTGTGATGTGACAAGTTTTTGTTGTTGTTATTACTGTCAGGAAATGTACAACCTAACCCTGGTCCGCCCAGCAGTAGTAGTCAGATCGCTACTCCTGCTGATTTTAAAGCTAGCTCTGGGTTGGGTTTCATCCACTTGAATGTGCGCAGTCTGTTAGGTAAACTAGATTTTGTCCGTATCTGAGCGAGCTCAACTGACGCTGACGTCATTGTTTTATCAGAAACATGGCTAAACAAATCTGTTTTGGCCTCTGACATTGCCTTAAATGGTTTTAATGTGTATCGTACCGACCGGCCTAATAAAGGTGGTGGCGTTGCCATTTATGTTAAGAATAAGTTCAGTGTAACCATATTAGTTTCCAAATCGATCAGTAAGCAATTTGAATTTTTAGCCATAAATATAGAAGTGGCAAAGGGTCAACAGGTCATGGTGGTGGGCTGTTACAGACCCCCCTCAGCTGTCAAGGACTCCTTGTCTTCACTAGCAAATCTTTTATCTCAACTAGACTACAAGGAAATAGTGCTACTTGGAGATTTTAACTGGGACTGGTTAACTACAGTGTCAGAGGATTTTAAAAACCTTTGTATCTCTTTGAATGTTACTCAGATTGTTGACAGTCCTACTCGCCCAAATATTAAGTCCCCTAATAAATCCTCCCTAATTGATCTCATTTTAACTAATGTTCCCCATAAATATTCATCTGTGGGAGTATTTGCAAATGATCTGAGTGATCACTGTGTTGTAGCCACAATTAGGGACACTAAGGTCCAAAAGGTTAAACCTCGCATTATCAGTAAGAGAGACAAAAAACATTTTGTGGAGCAGGGTTTTGTGCATGATCTGTTTGATTTTGATTGGGGTAAAATCGATCTGTGTGCTGATGTAGAAACCGCATGGTCTTATTTTTATCTTGGTTTTATGGAGATCATTGATAGACATGCACCCCTGCGTAAATTTAGAGTAAAGGGACGAGACAATCCTTGGTTTTCTGCTAATCTGTCCAGTCTCCTTCATGAGAGAAACAAGGCCTGGGCAAAGGC